CCCCGCCCCCATGCTCTTCTCTCTTTCTCGAAGGGAATGGGGTTTAGGGAATTAAGAACTTGCCTGAGAGTCTTGTGATCTCACATCATGCACCTTGTTGTGACAAGGGAAAACCCCTTTTCACGTTCAGCTTCATTTATCACCATTGTCAACTGCTTTATTATTAGCATGTACATTAGGAAAAAGAATTTCTGTGTTTAAAATGACTTCTATTGAGGTTTTAGAAATACTACATAAATAATACTTTGAAAATAAGGCGAAATAGATTTTGGTTTTTTGAAACCAAGTATCAGGTATACTAAGCTGTAGGAAAATCACCTATAGTCTTCATTTTCCCACCTTTGTGTGATATTGAGTTGGCTGTCTGTTGGAGATTCCAGTCCCAGATATGCCATAAAGGGACATCACTGAAAACAGGCTTTTGGCATTTGGAGGTATCTCCAGTCCTGTGGTAATAAGGGAGGAAGACTCCTCAAAGAATTCGCTATCATGATGGCACTAGAACCATGCTTGAGGAATGCCAGAGTTCAGGTACCTCCTTCTGGAAACTTCTGGCCCCCACTGGGCTTTGCCTCCTCTCTTTGAGAATGGGCACTAAGAAAAGCAAACTGACCACTGCCAATGCACCAGGCATCGCATCACCGTTCCAGCTTCAGGAGATACATTTCAGGAGTTTCCTTGGGGGAAATCAGTCTGTGGTTGCAGCAAATACCAGAGACCTGAGTGGAGTGATGCTGAAGACAGGTGGCCATCAGACATGGCTCATAGTCTTTCCCACTATGCAGCTTGCAGGAAGTCTTCGGACCCATTTCATCTTGCCAATGTCTTTATGATTTTGACAAGAAGGGGAAGCGTGAATGGATGCCGACCCTTCTGTTCTGCTTCTCTGTGAAGGTTACATATAATTAATTTGTCTCACTGGGACTGAGCCCTGAATTAATTCTTTGGCATAAAATGAGGTATTAGGGTAATGGATACACAGCTATACTGTGCAGATCAGGGCTGACTATTAGGGTTTACCTGGCCACGCTGAAGTTTCACAGATCACACAACTCAGAGTTGAAAGGATCCCTTGAGACTGAACCCTTCATTTCCCCCCCATAGGGTCCCCTCACTGTCTTCTTTGAGGTGGTCTTTCTGTGTCATTCAGGCTACACAGAAACTCATTGTTTTCCTGTCTCAGGCTCCTAAATGCTGGGATTACAGGTTTGTGTCACCACATCTGGACTCTTTAACTTTTAAAAGAAAATTCCATTGCCTTAGCTGAGTCACCCATGTGGGTGATTGCTGTCTAACACAGAGTCCCTAAACTCCTACCCAGATTGCTCACTGATTGTAAAGCAATGGATGAGCGCCAAACCATCCTGCCTGACACAATCATCTGAAATGTTATCAACTTGATGTTCTCAGTTGGCAAATGGCTTCCTTACAATGTAAATATTCTAGGGAGACTGGACAGTACAGTTGTTCAGAACTGTATGGATTTGATACAAATTCACCTTTTAACTGACGCCAGCTGGCAGAGGAACATGTGTGATAGATAACTACGTGAGTGTTCACAGGGAGGCCTTAGGCCTCTGTAGATTGGAGAGAGGGTGAGCATGTTGGAGTGTCCAACAAGGACTACCAGAAGTGGACTTGGGAAGGAACTGAAAACAAGCTTTGGTTGTAGTTCTGAGCATAACATGGCAACACCATTGTTGCAAGTGAGGGTGGTGCACTTCTACCATGCTTCAGAGAGAGCAAGGGTGGCTTTAGTTTTCTGTCCTATTTAATGGAGACTTCATTGTCCCCTCCTAATTTTATGTAAGTCATTCTGTTCTTGTCTGACCTATTGAGTGTTTCCGGCTGAGCTAGAGTTCGTATTCAAGGATGCTCTAGAAATTAAATATACTTGCTTCAGGGTCCCGAGTGAAAACAGAATCTTATTAACAGCCTCCCTGTCCTTTCTTAGGCATCCTCTTATTTCAGGGCATCATGTCAAGGGATCCGGGAACACTGGCATGTGTCTGTGTGTGCACAACATGGATAACCATCTGCGGCTATGAATCATCTAAGTCAAACTGTGGGTTCTCTGGGGACTCATTTAAAAATTGTTAGCTAAAGACAGATTGACAACACTTCACACAGCTTTGGGAATCTTGTTGTGGAAAGCCTGGATGTGGAGAAGCTAGATCCACATATATGTTGTTTTAGGGCTCTCTAGCTTGGGGGATTTTTAATCCCTGTATTACTGGAGAAAAACCTATCAAAATAGCCCAGCCATTAGAATTGCTTACAGATGCACCCTGTGGATTTGGATGGAAAAGCCCCATATTTTAAAATAATAAAATTGTTCTGCAATTATATGATACTTTACAGTCTTAGGGCTCATAAAATATTTTGTGGAAATGACTACTTTAAAAGATTGCCTTAAATTGATGGAATGGCTTTTCTTGGTGCTTTCTTTAATATTTGGGACTTGAGAGTCTCTACAGTTTTCTGAGTCTCAAAGGAGCTGATCAAGGTGATATTCTTGTGATTCATTAGATGAGTGGCAGATAAAGCGAAACCATGTCACCATTGGGAAAGCTAAGAGTCCTGGGTGTGGGTAGCACAGCCAACCCCATAGCATCTGGGGGGCAAGAAGGCTGCTTGTGTTGTCACAGCTTATGATCTCCTCCGGATTGTGGGGCAGGGGCAGACATTTTTGTGCATAGAGGTGCCATTAGGTTGATTTATCTCCAGATGGCTAGGATTCAGATGCCACTTGATGCAAGAGAGTCCAGTCCTGTCTGTAAAGCAGAATGTACCTTTAGAGAAAGGCTGTTCCAGCTCTTCTGGTTTGCTATAATTTAGTGTCACATACTAGCAAACTGGTCATTCCTCACAAATTGCCTTTTCCACAGTGGAACAGCCATGGCCTTTTTGAGTCCTTCTTTATAGACAACGGAATACAAATAATTATACTAGCTTATGGTTTAATTAGCATGGCTTCTGCAAACCTTAATTGGGCCTGTTCACATTTGAAGTGGAACTTGCTATCATGGTTAATGAATGTATTAAAGTCCAGTGTCTGCATAAATTACCATAGCCATATGGCTGGCACAATATTTAGTGGACAGTAATCTAGATTCAATGGCATCTAGGGGTTACACTAACTTCAATGAAACATCTTCATGTCATCGTAGCTCCGTGTGGAGTTGTTTATTGACTTTTCCATGTACACAGGTTTGAAGATTGAACCATCATTTACATGAATATGTAATAATGTAATAATATATATATCCAATATACCAATAAAGACGATTAGAGAAAAGCAAATCCTTATCAGTGGTAGTAAGGCACAACCTGAATCTGTAGGTTTCGAGTGGAAAGGAGCAACATTCCCCACCCCCATTAATAACAGAGTTAGCTCTTCACCCACGAGGCACACTGCCTGCTTAGTTGGTCAGTGACGTCAGGGTTAGAAAAATGGAGCTGTTTTCTCAGTTACAGACAGCTCCTCTGGCATCACCTTCAGTGTTTCTCAAAGTGAGATTCTGGAACCCCTTTGGGCAGTTTGTGAGCTGGAACAAGGCTTTTTTGACTGTTGTCACTATTTTTGCAACAAAACTTGAGCCAAGGGTGGAGCAAACCGAAACTTTACTGGTAATGCTTCTCAGAACTGTTCTCCTCTGTCTTCCAGCCTCAGGGACCTGGATGGGAAATGTCTGGGGCAGTTATAGAAAAGTAGTTACCAGTGAATCCTTAGATGTTCAGAACCAATTCGAGGGCCAGGCAGTTGCTTTAAGGGAACTGAAAAATCGTCTGGAATTGGCACAGAACAGAAAGGATCTCCTACACTCAGAAATGACACTTTTGAAGAACACAAAATGGAGAAGGTGGAAAGACACACACACACACACACACACACACACACACACACACACAAGCCCTTCGCTTCGAAATGCTTTATCTAGCAAGTAACAAAACTGTTTTCCTCCAAAGAGATGCTTTGTCATAGCTACCGCTAGGGCTGAAGTGAACAAGAGAATACAGAAGCAGAGGAAAGGGCAATGAAAACATACAGATAAACTCGGTATTGCATAAGCATGTGTATAAAATTTAATGAGTTCCTGATTCCATTTCATAGAAATAAATGTCATCTGTGAAAACCAGGTTCAGAACACCCACTGAAACACAACATCACTGTTCAAGCAACCCTTAAATCCTTTCCTCACTGCCACCTGGAGAAAAAAAAAATGCTTTGTTGTAATCTGCATCTGAGATCTATATGTTATGCTATGAATATATGATCACATTTGTGTTCTCAGCACATCAGGATCTCATGGCTAAGGGAGAGAAAGCTTGAGGGGGGACTGGGGAAGTATAGACCAGGGTCTAGGACACTGGAATTGCCCAATGAGTCACCAAGGGGAGGAACACTGGTTTGGGAAGGCCTGGGCCTCAGATGTATTGACATGTATGACCACACATGGGCATCTTCCTATGTGTCTATGTATCACTGCTACTTAATTTTTTTTTAAGTGATCAGATCTGAGTTAATGGAAGTTTGAAATATAAGTAATTTTAATCTTGAGTTTTAAATCCAGTAGGAAACCTCACACTCAGTATTTTTACTTTTAGTAGGAAGATTTTCTTAAGGCATGAGGTATGTTAAAAGGGTGTTTGAATTGCTGGATCTCTACTGGTGTTTCATTGTACGCAAAGCACTTGAGATGTATGCGTTTCACTTGGATGACTATATACACGTTTTTCACTACACTACCAACTAATCACTTTTTTTTTTTTACAATAGGCAATGAGCTAGAACAATTAAAAGCCTCTAACCACCACCCACAGCGATGCCAGCTTATGATTTTTCTTTTCCAAGTAAATAACATCTCTCTCCATGCTGAGTCATTGCAATTAATGCCTTCATCTCTGTTCCCTTGCCTCCAATGCTTCATGTCCACAAGGCAAGGAAACATCCATGACTCCCCCTTTGAGACACGGAAGCAGCTGCTACTGACTACACGGAAGCAGAGAGCGCACAAAATCGGAAAGAAGCCTTAGGGGACTGTACAGCGGACCATGCACGAAAACTTTACGCAACCAATCTGGGCCTTGTACTGATCACTTTTTTAAAATGGCATTTTCTTCTTTTGGAAGGATAGATGAACCCATGCTCAAAAACCTTTCTAATGCATCTTGAAAATACAAGTTTTCCTTATCATTATTATTTTTTAAATGTGGCACTTCAAAACAAGTTGGCACAAAATGAAAGTGATATTTGGTCTCTGGTTTGTGGTGGAGCCTTTCAGTCCGTCCCCCTCTGGGAGGGCTCCTGCTCAGCCAGGGGGAGAAGCTAGTGTGGTGTAGGGCTCAGGGCTGGGTGACTTTGTTCGTGCTTTTCTGCACGGTGTCCCCAGGGGCAGCGGTAGCTTCCAAGGGGAGACCCTGCTGCTGATAGCCATAGTTGACGTTCCCGCAGGGGAAGTGGCGCAGCCTGAACAGCGGCACCTCCTTCATGGTGGCGCTCAACGCCGATGGCTCCAGCAGCAGCGCAGCCCCGGGTCTGCGGGGTCCCGCGCCCGGCCCGGTCCAGCCACCCTCGGCTGCTCCTGCCCGCGCCTGCAGCTCGGCGCCCGGCGGGGGATGGGTTTTTTTGACCGGCTTCTCGGTGAACCACGAGCCATAAGTCGGGTTCCACAGGCTGGTCGGCTTGTTTCTGGAGCCCGCGCTCTTGTGCAGCTCCGGGGCAGGGTTGGACTGAGAGAACGCCATGTTCACATGACCACGATCAGCCGCCCCTCGGGGCACACGGCCAGCGCCCGCGCCCGCGCCCGCACCCGGGGGCTTCTTCACCACGGGGCCTGGCGTCGGCAGGGCTGCGGGCTGGGGGGTGGCGGGCACCTCCTCATGCTTCGCGGGCTGGGGAGACACCAGCAGAGGAGGCATCCCCTCGGGGTCTTTGGGTCTCATGGGCACTTTTTCCTCCTCCTCCACTACTGGGCCATACTCTATGGGCAGAGCTGTGTTGATGACATCTGGATCCTGTGGAAAGGAGAGAGGACAGATGAGAACGCAATCAGAGATGTTGGATATGGAAGTGATCTCAGAGAGAGTAACATCTGTTTACAGAGGAGCCATTTTTGTCAACTTGACACAAACTAGAGTCACCTGGGAGGTGGGATCCTTAACTGAGTTATTGCCTCCATCAGATTGGAATGTGGACATGTCTGTGGGTCATTTTCTTAATGATTGATGTGGAGGACCCAGTCCCCGGTGGGCAGTGTCATCCCTGTCAGGAGGTCCAACAAATTCGGGAGCCAGCCGGAATAAGATAAGCAGTCTCCCTCCACGGCCTCTGCTTTAGTTCTTGCCTCTAGGTCCCTGCTTTGATCTCCTTCCTGCCCTGGCTTCCCATGACCATGGGCTGTCAGGTGTTAAGATGAAGTAAACCTCTCCTTCCAGAGTTGCATTTGCTGGTGATGTTTACTACAGCAACAGTAAATGAATACATTAACAGGTAGGCTTGAGTAATGAGCGAGCATCACTGTTCTTGAAGACCTTAGAAGAAGCCTTTGTTGTAGGAGAGGGTACCAGGTGCTTATGGTGTGTGGGAGACACCTGGTCTTGGGGCAGTGGAATGGGAGCAGTGTAGAGCAGACATGTGTGTGCCTTGGTGTGTGTGTGTGTGTGTGTGTGTGTGTGTGTGTTGTGTGTGTATGTATGTGTGTAACTTGTTGAGGAAGGGTGCAGAGGAGAAGACACCACACTTGGCTCTCTTCCCATATTGGGTGATTGGCTCCTGATGGTGACCTTGTGTTGTATGTTGTCATTACATGGGTAGCTGTCCCAGTGTAGAGACTCATTTGCCCATTCAGATGTGAAGGGGCTTTTGTGTAGTCGAGCAAATTCTCAGTCTTGATGAGGAGAAACCATTCACAGAAACAGCTTGGTGATAGACCATTGTCACAGTCATAGACTATACTAGGAAATCAGATGCAGCAGTTGGCCAAGGGTTTAAGGAAAATTTGTGGGCAAAACTCCAGGGAAATTTAATTTAGTAATAGTGTATACAAATGGAGGGGGAAGCTCCATTACTTAAGTTTTACAGAAGAACTCACCAGTCCAGTGTCTATTATCAAAGGGTTTAAGAAAACAACAAATATCTTTTTAAAAGTCATTTCATTTCTTCCGTTTCTTACTTTTACAGTAAGTCATTTAAAATATATAGCTGTAGAATTGCCTGAAAAGGTATTATGTATTTTGGAAAAAAAGAACCCAAAGGTGTGTGAACATATGTATGTGCTTATGAGTGTATTCTATTCCTATTACAACATAAGTTAAATGTCATTAAGCAAGGGTCCCTGGTTTGTGCCCCCCTCACCATAACATGGTCACTGAATTCTACCTCAAGGAAGACAGCAGCTCAGCTTTACAGCAGAAAGGCCTGAGATAGTGTGGCCAGGTAGACAGTTGCTGGAATCTGGAGAAAGTGCCCATCCTCGGTCCCAGTTGAGAGAATTTACAGAGAGGTGGCTCGTTGTTTGACTTTTCTAAAACACTCAGTGTTTTAGAAACACTGGTAGGCTTCCTGAGATCCAGCAGATGAGCCCATCCCCATGCACATATGGTGCTTATGTCAACTTGACACAAGTTAGTCATCTGAGAGAGTCAGGCTGAGAAAACAATGAGGAGCAAGCCAATAACCAACACCCTCTGTGGCCTCTGCATCAGCTCCTGCCTCCATGTTCCTGCCCTGACTTCCTTCAGTGAAGGACTATGGTTTGGAAGTGTAAGCCAAATACGCCCCCTCCCCAGTTTGCTTTTGGTCATAGTGTTTCATCACAGCAATAGTAACCCTAATTAATACATATGGGTGGCACTAACTGGACTTAATGGGTTATCCAGCAGACACACAACAAACAAGAGCAACAACAAAAAGGACCTGAAGTCGGGAAGGAGCCATGTTAGGGAGACATTTAGGAGATGGAAAGGGTAAAGTGCGTGGAGTGGGGGGTGGAGAGGAGGGGAACAGAGGGGACTAGACAAAGGGGGGGGGATGTAGGGAGAAAATTCTAATTTAATTTTGTATCCTGGTAGGTTCACAGCCAGGAGGGAGGGAAAGATCAGGCACACTAAGGAGAAAAGTGGCAACTGATGTGGAGTCCTACAAGGTAGTTGGTGATGTCCCAATAGGGAGATCGATGGACTGGGGAATGGGGCTCCTGTTGAGGATGGTGGCAGATGCTGGCAAGTCCGTGCTAGAGACAGGGAGGAAAGGAACTGTCCCACCACCACCTCTATCCCCACCTGATGATGAGTGGGAGGCACTCCGGATTCAGTCAGTCAAGATTGGAGGAATTAGGAGAGGGATCTACGGAGAGCCCAGGATTGCTAAGAATCCTTGTGACTTGGACAGTCTCTCTAAGCCTAGCTCCCTCCTCTGTAAAATGGGGTAGAATGAACCCTCCATGGGAACAAAATAAAAAGACATAGAAAAGCAACTTGTGTAGTATAATCCCATGTAAGTGTTACTGATGGATGGTTTGAATGTTTCTCCTGATTGCTTTAGCAGTCATATAGTTACTATCTAATGTTATTATTTGTCTGGACAGGTTGTAAGTCTTGAGAGCTGTCATTCTCTTTGAAGCCCCAGTTTCATGTACAAAACATTAGCTGTTGAGCTATCTATCCTTGATACCACAACAACATGGCTACCTAAACAAGACCAGAACATCAACAGACACACTAACAGGGAAGGGAGAAATCTCACGGGCCCCATGCCAAGACAAAGAACTATGGGCAACCAATGATGGTTGAGAGGGAGAATTACTCTTCCCCAGGGTGGAATTCTCTAATTGGTTATCCAGTATCAAGTTGTTAGCTCTGAAATCATTCATATATATACATATATATATATATATATATATATACACATATATGAAGCACAAAATGGATTTAATAGGTTGTATTTATATGGATATACATCAAAGAAAAAAGAGGTCATGAATTTGTGAGGCAGTAAAGAGGGGGAGTGTTGGAGAGGTTGGAGTGAAGAAAGGAAAATGATGTAATTATATTTTAATTGTTAAAGGATGACAACAAAAGCCCGTTATCTATAGCAGGATCAGCTAATGCTTGAGTTTGTCTGGTGCTCGTGAAGAAAGTACAAGTTTTCAATGTTTATTGCAGGATATGGGCAAAGTGATATGCCAATCATATCATTTCAGAGATAAGGAATATTGAGTCTCACGATCACCAATCTTACACTTATGAGATTATAATTATTATAAAATTTCCCCATGGAGATTAAAGGCTGGGAAAGGGAGAAAACATTTTACCTGGGTGCAGTATTCAATCCTTTCCAAAATGATGGCGAAGTTGGGTCTGTCTTCAGGCTGATGCTGCCAGCACTGAGTCATTATCCGATAGCTGTAAGAACGAGCATGTTAATAGACAAGAAGAGGCATTGGGAAGGCTCTGTCTCCCCCAGCTCTTTTCTCAATCAAGACAAAGCTTTAAGGATGGGAAGACATCAAAGTCCAAGTGGTTGATCTCTTCTGCCCCCTGCTGGTGGGATGGGAATCACGCCCAAACTTAAGTCCCATGAAAGACATCCAGCTATTTACATCAAATCCCACTTTCCTAAAGCCACGTTTAGGGTGGGGTATTTTATTCCCATTTTGGTTTTGGAAAGGAGGTGAGGGAATGCCATAGAGGACAGGGAAAAAAGTAACAAGGGGGAGAACTATTTAGGGGAGATACACGTCTGGAACACGTTTCTAGAGGCCAGTATGATGAATAGCGCTCACGAGTCCACAGTCCCCAGCCAGGCAATAATGAGATGAAACTAGTGTGTTTGAAGGGCTGGAAGACAAACCCATCTTACTGAAGTCACGGGCACACTGCGTTTGGGGGCATCTTAAAAAAAGTCTGCCGCTTTCCTTTTAATGTTAAAGGAGCATATGTGATCCAAATACTTAAAAATAAGACCGTGTTCAGTTTCTAGTAGGAAGTTCCCAAAGGTCATACACAGGCCCGGGGCAGTTCTTAGGTGGGTCCATCCGTCCTCCACTGGTAACAAACTCCAGAACTTCCTGGTTGCTCTTGCTGGGGTATGGCATATAGCCGAGAGAAAATATTTCCCATAGCAACACTCCAAAAGACCTGGGCATGAACAGAAGACACAGATATGGGTGTGGATACATGTGTACACAAAACATACACAGCTAAGTTTTTAGTATGTTTTCCATTATGCCATTTTCTGTTTAAAAAAAGAAAGAAAAAAAGAAAAAAAAAAGAAGGGATGCTCTGTGTGTATGTGTGTGTGTGTGTGTGTGTGTGTGTATACACTTTTGTGCACATACACATGGAATTCAAATGACAACAACCTTGAATATTGTTTCTCAGGAACCATCTATCTTGTTTTATTGTTTTAAATAATTATTTAACTTTTATCTGTGTGTGTGTGTGTGTGTGTGTGTGTGTGTGTTGTATGAAGGTGTTCATAGAGGCCAGAAGATGATGGGAGATGTCATTCTGTAAATATGTTTCTCATACTGGTTAATGAATAAAGCACTGTTGGCCAATAGGAAAGCTAGATAGGCAGGTCTAGGAGATGAGGAGGAAAGAGGAAGTAGTAAGGAGGAGTCAAGATGGAGAGACTGGGGAGATGAGACCACGTGGAAATACATAGATCAACAGAAATGGGTTAATACTTAAGACAGAGTTAGCCGATAAGAACTAGTACCTGGTCAATAGCATTATATCAAATACAGAGTCTCTGTGTGTTAATTGGGGCTGGCGTGGTGGCAGGAAAAGACGGAAAAACCTTACTCCTTACAAGAAAAGGACATCAGATCCCCTGGAGCTGGAGTTATAGGTATTGTGAGCCATTCAATGTGGGATCTGGGAACTGAACCCAGCAAGCTCTCATAACCGTGGAGTCTTCTCTCCTGACCCCAACTTGTTCTGCTTAATTAAACAATTTTTTTTTTGTTTTAAATTAGTTACAGTCTCTCAGTGGACTGGAGTTCCCCAAGAAGGCTAGGCTGGCTAGTCAGTGGACCCAGGGTCCTTCTGTTTCTATTCCTCAATTTCTAGCATTATAAGCAGCATTACCTCTCATCTTTTTTCTTGCTTTCCTTCTCATAAGTTCTGGAGATTGAGCCAGGTCCTTTTGCTTGAAACCCACAAGCCCTTCACTGGCTGAGCTATATCTCTTCAGTCCAGAGGGCTTTTTAGACCCAGAAAAATTGAAAGAATATTCAAGCACTCATGAGACTCTCTATTAAAAGATAACCTGTTAGCATATTTTTTCATTCCAGTCAAGCTCTGTGCCTAGAATTCTTTTATATAACCATATCTATTGAACTTTGATAATTTTGTTCATTTCATGATACACAACCACTTTCCACCCTAAACATTTTATAAAAGAGTCTGAAATGCCTATGAGATGTAGCATGGTTTACCTTATCACATTGTTTTCAGTTTTCAAAGTATTTTAAACATTGCATGAACATCTTTTTGCACTTTGATTTTAGTTAATTTTATTTGAATTTTAGTGAGGGAGTCTCATTTTGTGTTTCATTTGCTACAGAGTCTTGCTGGCTTCAAACTCAAACTCTCCCTGCCTTTTGAGTCCACCATGGGTGGACCACCACACCTGGCTTTCATCCATTTAAAGATTCCTTTGAACAAAGCATCTGAAGCTAATAGAATAGTGAAAATCAGTCATATTTCTAGTATAATAACTAGATGTAAGACCACAACCCCTGAAACCCTGTTGGTACATGCTGTTGATTCTGCGTACCCAATTCTATCTGACCACTATTGTTACTCTACTACCTTTCAATATGTACATCGATAGTGACATTTGCTCACTTTAAAGCAAAATATGACAGGATAACTTTTAAATTTTATTTCACTTTATTTTTTATGTGTATAGGTGTCTTGCATACATGTCTGTGCACCACATGCCTCCAGTACCCACAGAGGCCAGAAGAGGGCATCAGAGTTCCTGGAACTGGCATTTCAGATGGTTGTGAGTTGCCAAGTGGGTGCAGGAAACTGAACCCAGGTCCCCTGGAAGAACAGTCAATGCTCATAACCACTGAGCATCTCCCAAAGTCCCAGAGAGCCCCCCTCATCTAGAAGAAGAAAACAAGAAGAAGAAGAAGAAGAAGAAGAAGAAGAAGAAGAAGAAGAAGAAGAAGAAGAAGAAGAAGAAGAAGAAGAAGAGCAAACCAGACAGACAGAAACCTCAGGGCAGAAGTGTTTCCAACCTAATATTTTATTTTGCGTTCTTTTGTGTTGTTGCTACTGTTGCTTGCTGCCTATTGCTTTGGGTAAGCCAGCTACTAGCTGGGGCAGTTCTGGAAAGTTCATGTGATGAGGGCAAGACCAACCCAGAACCAGTCCCAGGACCAGGGTTCTAATAAGTTGGTCCACCCTGTCTGTGATCTGCTGGAGCACATGAAGGGGCCAGTCTTACAGACCCAAAGCTGCAGGATCTCCATGACACAGGATATCCAAGAGGAGTCCCAGTGAGGGCCCAGTATTGATGGTGTAGCAGAAGCCACAGGCCTTGAAACAGACCAATGACTCTTTGCAATGAACACTTGCAAATAAGGATGCAGGGACTAAAGAGTGTGCTGTGTGACTTACTGTGACACACAGCAGCTTCCATGATGAGAGTTTTATCTTTTAAATTTTATTTTATTTGTGTGTGTGTGTGTATGTGTGTGTGTGTGTGTGTGTGTGTGTGTGTGTGTAATTGTAAGAGCAGAGGGAGGATACAATGGGTCAGGGGGATAAATGGAATCAGGTGCATGATGTAAAATCCACAAAGAATCCACAAGTTTGCTTTTTTTTTTTTTTTTTTTAAGATGTTAGCCCTTTATCAAAAATAAAAAAGCTTATTTTTTGGTAGAGTTGGAGGCAGAGGTAAGAACTCTCTAGTGGCTGGCTACTTTGCTTCTCTGATCTTCAACTTGAACCCCAATATCTGTCTCTGGGTTTTTATTATTTGTGCAACAGGTGTGTTTGTTTTTATCTCTCCTGGAATTCGGTTAGAATTTGAGGGGACTGAATCCAGGGTCATGTATACGTTGGCAAGTATTCTGTTTCTGAGTGGGATCTCCCCACTTCCCTATTATTATTATTATTTTCATTATTTAATTTTGGATAGTGGATCATGTTGGTCCTGAACTCACTCTGTGGCCAGGCAAGCTTTGATATTGCAATCCTCCTGTCTCAGTTCCTTAAAGAGTTATAATTACAAGAATGTATTACCAGGCCTAGCCAAAATACTTCTACTAGTTGCTTTATGATCTAACTTTGTAGTGTATCAAAGGCTTGCACTTTCAAGTAGTTAAATGTATTTACCACATTTTTGTAATTTTTCTATTTGTTTTACAGTTGTGCAATCTTTTCTTCACCAAAGATTAAATAAATGTTTACTATTTTGTAGGTGTGTTTCTTTTTCTCTCTCGAGTTCACTCAAAATTTATATACAGTGAGAGGGGAGGGTCAAAATTGGTTTGTTTCTCTGAATGATTCTTCCAGCGCTTTATAAAATGATTCCCCCTTTCCTATTGATTTTTGATTAAGGATAGGGCTGTTTTTAATAGGCATGCCCACTTATTCCTTCCATCTGTTTGCTTTGTGCATTGGCAATATTATGTTTCGCTTTTCCTGTCTGTGTTTTGACATCACATAAGACATTTTCCTCTTTTTAAAAAGGTATTTGATTTCCTGTTGTTTGTCTTAAAGGACTTTTGAGACCCAGTTTATTAAGTTCCAGAATAATATCTTCTACTTTAATGCCATTTTAATTTCCAACTCTTAGTTTAATGATCAGATTTTGGAGAAAGAAAATCTATCTTTGTTCTAGTATCTCCATGCAGTGTTCTGCTCTTAGTAAACATTGTCCTAAAGTGGTAGGAAAAATACACTTCTATGGAGCAGGAATGCTTTCTTTTACTGTTACTATGTTGGTGGAATTAGCTGCCTGCAAGTTGCCAGAAACATGAATTGTCCCCTCTCACGTGGTCTTTCTGACCTCTAAGGGGAAAAGAAGACCGCCCCTTCCCCAAATACAGCAAAGAACAGCATAACAAACAAAAACCAGTCTCCAGCAAGGAAGATGTTTGAAGACCCACAGCCTCTGCTTGTCTACAGACAGGTACATATAGGTAGATACTAGTTTGTGACTGCAGTATCTTTTGTTAGACAAGACAGGTCTGGCTGTAGCTCAGGCTGGCCTGAAACTATTTGACCCAGGTTGGCCTCAAATTCCCAATCTTCCTGCCTAAGGCTTCTGCGTGCTGGGGTTACAGGTGTGTGCCTCCACATCATTTGAGAGAAGTTTGGTGTGGTTTTGCCCCCCTGATGTCAGTGTTTCCCTTTCTCATTGAATAAACAGATCAGACATATGCCCTCTCCATCCATGCTCTTTTGTCCTCTCCCTGAAGTTTAGAATGCATCACCCTCATTTTTCATATTATTTAACATGTGAAGACATCTATAACTAATACTTTTTTTTGCATTGTAAAATTTTTTTTAAATATTCCATATTCCTTTTGTCCCCTTCACTGGCTCTTGTACTATGGATGAGCATTTTTCCATGTTGACACTGTAGGCTGTGTGTCCTTTTTACACTGCTCAGCTGTTTCTGTCCATTTAGCTTCCCATCCCCTGATTGAGAGGGAGTTAGGTTGTTGTTGCCTTTTCTGTTTTATAAACTATGTGCCAGTGGGGATATTTGCCCAAGTCTATCTGTGCCAACGATCTTTAATGTGACACAGTCTCGAGCAGAACTGATGGGTCATAGGACATTCATGAACAATTCAGAACAATTACTAACTTGCTGATGCTATTCTGCCTCTGGAAGGTTAGGTGGCTGTCACTCTTTTTGGTGCCCATGTGATTCCTCTAGAGGGCTTGTTAAAACAGATGGGTAGGCCTCCACTCCCGCAGTTTCTGCTGCATGAGGCTTGGGGTGGTTGGGTGGGGAACTGATTTTGGAGTTGCTAATGATGAATTCCAGGTTACCCACTGTCTCTGGCCTGTGGAGACTCAGTGGGTTAAATCAGGGCAAATCTCACAGGCCTGGAAATAATGAAGCCACTTGCTCAAAATAGCCACCATGGGTCAGAAAGGGGAGTCGTCTTCCATCTTAGGACATTATCGCAATATGGGGCTTTCAGAACTTGGGATATTTCCATTGTCCAACATTTTCTGTGCTAGGAACCATTTCCAGGCCACTTTGAGTCCCTGATTTTTTAACCTCTGGCCAGTTTCTCTATTTTTCTGCTTGGAAATGTACAGAGTCATTATCAGCTTTAGCCTGGAACTTTTTGGCGATACGCTTATGTGGTTCTTGAGCTGTGAGGCTTGACACTTAGTGGGTACCTTTACCCTGGAGATGTATGTCCTATCTGCACAATGTTCCTTTATTGCTTTGACATTTTTAGTTTCTGTATTTCCCGTGTCCTTCCTGGGACTCTTATTTTGCAAGCTTATCAGATCAATTTGCTTAATCCTCTCAATTTTTGTCTTTTTTCTTTCCTGTATTTCCTATCTCTTTAGAATTGTTTCATTTCTCTGAAGTTTAACTTAATTCTGTATTCCAATTCATTCATGACTTTTACATTTCAGTTATCAGATGAAAAAAAAAGAAACTTCATTTTGAATAGAATGGTCCACATTGCATTTCCATACACTCTATACCTAGTTTTCACTATTTTTAGCAACACATTAACATGGTACATTAATTACCAATTAATGGATTAGTATTAAGGCATTATTAACTAAAACTCATAGTTTATTCAGATTTCCTCAGTTTTCATTGAATTTACCTATTCTCTTCCCAAATTATATCACATTAAGCTGTCACATCCCCTTGTGACAAGGATGGCCTTGTTCTTTTTTGGGCCAGTTTGAATAATCCCGGCCAGGGATTTGGTGGGATATCTCTTATCTGGGACCTGATTTTCTCATGATTATATGAGGGCTAAGGAGTTGGGAGAGGACCACATTTACACCCCTTTATCTCATACCAGAGGGACACAGTGCTGATGTTGACCTTGAGCAGCTGGCTGAAGCAGTGTTTGTCCAGTTTTCTCAACTGTGAGTCTCTCTCTGACCCTTCCTTCCCACCCGTGTCCTTGGAAGGAGTCTATTATGTGCAGTCACATAGGCTTCAGAGGGCCTCCTTGAGGGTGTCAATCATATTTTTATTCTGGAGACCTTTCTCCTGTTTTATTTTCCATTTCTTGTGTGTGAATGGTGTGCATATGTGTAGACACATGTATGGTGTGCATACAGGTAGGTGTAGGTCTATGTAGAGCCCTGGTGTTGATGTCGGAACTCATTTTTCATAACTCTCTGACTGTATTCACTGAGGCAGAGTCTTTCAGTAAAAACCAGAGCACTCCAATATGGCTGTTGTTGGGAAATAATCTTTTTGTACACTGTGATTTTGTGTCACTCTGATTGCTTTAACAAAAAGATGAACAACCAATAGCTAGGCAGGGTTTCCAGGCACAGAGGATGCTGGGGAAAAAGAAGGGTAGAGTCATGAACTAGATGGAGAGGAAGCAGGAAAGCAGGATGAACAGTATGTAGATGAGGCAGATGAAACTCGGCCAGCACATAGATAAATAGAAAGGGCTTAATATAAGAGTTAGTTAAAAACAAGCCTAGGCTATTAACCAAGCTTTCATAATTAATAAGAAGTCTCCGTGTGGCTATTTGGGAGCTGGCTCAGCAGACAGAGAAAGACTCACTACAGCAGGTCTCACAAGCTACTTGCTGTAGGGATCCCTGGTGTCTGCATTCTGAGGCTGGAATTACAGGTGGGCTATTATTCTTGCATTTACATAGGTTCTAGGGAATCTGAATTCAGTCCTTCACTTAGGCTTGCAGTACTTTGTCTCTCTGAGGACAATTGCAATGTTAAAAGAAGTTTCCTAGAGTTTTTATATTTTATTCCTCTCCGTCCAGTTGCTTGTGCCTTTTCTTCACTAGAACCGTTTCTCAGATATGCATTGTTCTTGGCTGACTGATGGTGTTTTTAGGTCGGGCTATCAAAAGCTGCAGAGAAAGTGCTATGTAAGTGAGCCAGCTTGATGCCATGATGAGGTGTGGCTTTTTTTTTTTTTTTTTTTTTTTTTGGTAGCTGGTTTAACAAAAAATGCCATTCACTGGGTGGCTTAACACAACTTGGATGGGTCTGAAGCCTGCACATTTGAAATGAGTCCTGCTGGGTTTATGTCACAATGTTAGTGTGATGTGGCTCCCTCCCTCTGAGGCTCTAGAGCAGCCGGTCTCAACTTGTGGGTCTTGACCCCTTTGGGGGTTGCATATCAGTTATTTACATTATGATTTATAACAGTAGCAAAATTTCAGTTGTGAAGCAGCAATGAAATGATTTTATGGTTGGGGTCAGCACAACATAAAGCACAGTATTAAAGGGCTGCAGCATTAGGACAGTTGAGAGGCCCTGCCCTAGGGCAGGCCTGTTTCTTCCTCTGCTTGCTTCTTTCATTGCCTTTCCTGTGTGACTACTCCACTAGAGGCCCTGGGTCAAATCCTGTTCACTCCTCTGTATATGAAGAATTTCCCCATTCCACAACTCTAATAGGAACACTGGTCATGGCATTTGCTTCCTTCCAGGAGGTTATCCAGACTCAAAAAAAAAAAAAAAACAATTCACTTTGCCTCAAGATCCTTAACTTAATCATACCCTTCAGGAAGTTTGAGGTGGGGCTATGGATTTGCATATTTGTATTGTTAATAAGGGCCAGGGGATCTGTTGTTGTTGACCACTGGATTAGGTTCAGGCAAATCTCAATGGCCTAGAAATAGCCAAGGCTTTTGCTCATTGTATCTAACCTAGGTCAGAAGGGGGCTCTGCCATTGTGGTGGTCTGAATGAAAATGGATGGCCCCCCATAGGCTTATAGGGCGTGGTACCATTAAGAGGTATGGCCTTGTTGGAGTAGGGATGGCTCGGTTGGGAGGAAGTGCATCACTAGGGGTGGGCTTTGAGGTCTCAGAAGCTCAAGCCATGTCTAGTGGCTCACTCCCTGCTGCCTGTGGATCCAAATGTAGAAGTCTCAGCTACCTCTCCAGTATCATGTCTGCTTGCACGATGCTGTGCTTCCAGCCATGGTGATAATGGACTAAACTTCTGAGCTGTAAACCAGCCCCAGCTAAATTCTTTTGTAAGAGTTGCAGTGGTCATGGTGTCTCTTCACATCAACAGCACTCCAAGACAGCCATCTTAAGACACCATCATTGAATCAGCTAACAATTGTGGGCTTCTGGTATTAGGATCTCATGATTTGGTGACTGGTTTTCAGCCTAACTTCTCATGGGCAACCTCACTTGTGAGTCTATGCCTCATTGCTCACTTTGCCCAGGAATCCTCTCATTGGTAGCCTGGTTGCCAGTGTTCTTGGAGGATACACCCTAAACTAGGTAGACTTTGAGAGCTGTTCTTGCATAGAATTGTGTGCCTCACCCTTGTTGATGTCTATACCACCAATCCCAGAGGGACTTCGATTGAAACTCTTTGGTGAGATTCTCACAGCTTAATGGCAGAGGAAGGACAATCCTCAAGATTCGGGGTTGAGGGCTGAGCCAGAGGATTTGGTTAGTTCTAATTTGGTTAGACCTTTAACCAATTTTCCTATTTGATGTACCCTTACATGACATTTCTGAACCTTCTGGGACCCTCAGGAAACTGAGCAGCCTGGTTCTGGATCTGAACTGTGGGCTTGGATGTCAAGTGAGGGATGACTTATCTATGAACTTGCTCAGGTCTAACTTGTTTTAAGTTTTTTTCCCTCATCTTTCTGTTTTTCTTCTTATTGTGGGGTTTAATTTAACTCAAAGGACTTTCTTTATTGGTGTGTGTGTATAAGAGAGAGTGTGTGTATGTGTGTGAATGTGTGAGAGTATGTGTGTATGAGTGTGTGTGTGTCAGTATGTATGTGAGAGTGTGTGTCAGTATGTGTATGAGTAGTTGTGTGTGTGTGAATGAGTGTGAGTGTGTCTGGTAGGGGGCTTGGGTTTAATTTGCCATTTAAAGTGACAAGAGTTCCAATGTGTGGTCTCCCAGCCAGAGAGCCCAGCATTACTTGGGAGCTTGGTAGAAATACAAGTTTATCTGGATCCCACTCCTGAAAAATCAGCTCTCAGCTCTGGGCCTTGTGGTATGCATTTTAAGGAGCCCTTCTGATCACTTTGATAAACACCAACACTTAACAGCCTCCATTGTGGCCTCTTCCTCCCCTTCTTCCCACAAAAAGAACTCCTGGAGGATTTGGTCCAAGATTATCACTAAGTCACAGGGATGCCTGGAGGAGGGCATTGGGAAGACTCACCATGTGTCCGTCTTAGAGGTGAATATTCCTTCCATGAAGGCCTCTGGGGGCATCCACTTTACTGGCAGCATGGCACACCCACCCTTTCTGTAGTAGCTGGCCCTGTGGGGGAAGAAGAGGAGACCAAGCTTGGATGGGAGGAGGTCAGTGAACAGAAGCTCTGCCTGAGAGCTTGAGAAAGGGGCTGCAACACTGCCTGCCTCTGGGAAAAAAAAACCCTGAAATTAAAGACAGGTCCCGGGTGGCTGGGGAGGAGAGCTGGGGAGCACAGATCATTTAGTTAAGAATCTTGGTGTCACTTAATGGCCCTCTGGAGGCACAGAGGAAAAGATCTATGCAGTGACTAAGGTCCCTGCTAGCAGGTGTTTAGATTTCCCTGTTGGGTTTTGTTTATTATAACTCACAATGAATAACATTACTCCAGCCTTATAAGTACAGCGTGTTTCTGATGACCTACAGTAATTTGAGTTCCAGAATGGGAGGGCTGAGAACAGGGCTCAGGTCTCATTCATTTCTGATCCTCCATGGTATTTATACAATGGCATTTCATTCACTGTTGACACTCAACAAATAATCTAGACAGCTGACCAGAGGCTGCTTCCCATAACACATCCAGACAGAAGGACACAGGGCTGGCTAAGCATGGAGACAGCTTAACACATAGATGAATTAATTTATTAGTTTTCATCAGTAATGCCACTGATGCAACTGGCTAACAAGAACTAATAAATTAACTCATTTACTTGTTAAGCCGATTCTACACCTAGCTTGATGTTCTGTGCCTGTTATGGGAGGCAGCTGTCTACACTAATTAATGACTTCAATAAACATGTTCTGAGTATTAGGATGTATCAAGTGCTCTGCCATGTATTGAGGACTTAAATAAATCATAGTCTCTCTTTCTCCCAAGGATACAGTTCAGTGGAAGAAACACACACACCTGAAATCACAGCACTGACACCTCCTATGATAATGGTGTGGGTATGGAGTTTTGTGATACAGGCAAAAGATTGATTTTCTGTAATAAAATAAGGGCATATACAGGGGCAGCATCACAGAGAGCTAGTCAAGGAGTTCTCTCCAAAGACCATTCCTGGTCCAGAATATCTACAGATGCAGGGGACTTGAGGGAAGCAAGGATGGGTAAAGTCTGGAGATAGGATTTGCTTTAGTTTGGATCTTATGGGTCCCTAGAAGCCACATGCTAGAGCCTTGGTCACCAGCCTGCTGCACTTCTGGGATGCAGTAGAACCTTTAACTGGTAGGAATTTTCAGAAGGCAGTTAGGTCATTGGGGACATGCTCCTGAAGATGTGTGGACCACAGTCCACTCACTCCTTTTCCTGTCTTTGCTTTCAGTCCGCCATGAGGTGGACATCATGTCATATGCTCCTGTCCCCATGTACTGTAACACTACAGGCCGGAAGCAACAGAGTCAAACATATGGGCATGGACTGGAGGCTCTGTAACTATGGTTCAAAGTTAATACTTTCATCCCTATAGATTCATTTAGCTTATGTGTTTGTCATAGAGGAAAACAAAATCTGACTTCCAAAGAGTTGTCAGAGAGGAAGACCCAATAAGTGTTGAGAGCTGGATAACATGCTACATTGCTATATTTGAAACTGGAGGCACTCCCCAGTGTCCTAAGAAAGTACAGGGGGTGTGCAGGGCCCTGGAGAGGAGGCTGTGATGGGTAACACCGAGTCTCAGGCTCACAGACTCCAGAATCACCTGGATGCTGAGCTTCTCTGGCCATGCCTGTGAGGGATTATCTTGAGCAAGTTAACTGAGCAGGGAAGACCCACCCTAGAGGAAGGTGGCATTATTCCCTGGACTTGGATTCTGGATTAAAAGAAAAAAAGAGGAAAGCAAACTGAGCACGCATGCACCTCTCTGCTTCCTGATTGTGAGTGTGATGTGCCCAGGTGCTCCAAGCTCCTTCTGTACTGACTTCCCTGGTGATGGACTGTACCCTTGAGCTGAAAGCTGAATAGCCCTTTCTTCCCTAAGATGCTTTTGCCAGGACATTTTCTCATATAGATGAGAAACCTAACTAAGATGGGGTTAAAACGCAAAGTGGGAAGATGTGGAAGTCATACAATGATAGCAGCAGTAGATGGCTCCAAAGAACCCTTCTTTGATTCTGTCCTCCACACACTATGGCCTTAAGGTCCCAGCACAGAAACAATGCCCCTGGCCCCTTGGACATGCTACTACTTCTCACCAAAGTCCTCAGCAGTTTCCAGATGTTCTTATTCATCCCTCAGATAATGAAACCATTCCCATTTCTGAGCATTAGGGAAGGGACCAATTAGTGACCATGTAAAGGAAAGCTTGCTCATCCTGTCTAGCAAGTCAGAATTGCTAATAGTTAGAAAACTAAGAGACTACAGGTTGGCAAATAAAGAAAGTCCAACAAAACACTATAATAAAAACCCCTATTTATTACTATTAGTATCATCACTTACAGTGTTGAGGACCAAGACTGGGCCTTGTGTATGCATGACAAGTTCTTTACTAGATGCTACAGTATCATTCCTTCACTGGTAATTTTTATGTAGCCTTGAGAATGTGAGAGGGGAAAAATGAAGCTGAATGAGGAACCTTTGTGGTTTAAACCAGTATCCTATCCATCCTAGGGAGCTTGTGTTTGTGGTGGTAAATATCACTGCAATAATTTAGAATCTCTGAGTGTTGAGGGCACGAGCTGAGTAATATATAAAGCCCACTTCAAAGATTTTCACACATCAAGTGTCCATGTTGAGCTAGAACACGGCAGGATAAGAGAGTTTGAGCCAGAGCGATAAGCCAAGATGAAACATGGTATCCAGTACTGCCGGGATTTAGACTGGGCACTAAGTAGAGGTTCTTATAGCACATCCTGGAAAACACTCATTGAAAGTCCATGTGGGAAACTGACAAGGTCATCATAGACATCTATTTGAGGAGACTGGATGGTGGAGGAAGGCTTTGGTGGAGCAAGGCAATTCTCTCACCTGTAGATATCTCGGGCCATCCCAAAGTCTCCAATCTTTGCTATTCTTCCAGCTCCTGGACAGGTTAGAAGACAGTTTCTAGCAGCAATATCCCTGGGAAGAAAAGCAGATGAGAAAATAGGTTTCCTAAAGTACGCATGAAACATCCTAGCACCTTTACCTCCAGTGAAGTTCAAACAGTTCTTTTCTTCTCCCTGTATTTATATTGTTATGTTATACTTCGCTGTGGAGGGAATAGCAATGCTGGTTCTAGATCAGGACTGGGGGAATTGGTTGAAAATGGTGGTGGTTTTAATGAGAAATGTCCTCTCTAGGTTCACACATTTCAACACTTCCTGGTTCCTGGCTGGTGATGTTTTTTTGGGGGGAAAGTTGTGGAATCTTTGGGAGATGGAGGCTGGAGGAAGTACATCACTAGGGGTGACCTCTAAGTGTTTACAACCTCACCGCACTTCCAGTTTACTCTCTGTGTATTTGTAGGTGAAGATGCCATCTGGTGTTTCCCGGAGCATCTCTCACCAGAATGGACTCTACCTCTGGAATTATAAGTCCAAATAAACTCTCCTATAATTGCTTTTGGTCATTGTGTTTTACCTCAGCAACAGAAAAGCAACTACTATTGAAGGGCTCTCTAACAGGCCCAAACAATGCAAACATGGAGCCAATAGGTTTGGCCCTTTCATCTTCCCCCTTCCTTACTAAACCATCTGGTTAAATTACTAAAGCTAGCCCTCAAAGTCCATTCCCTTATTTGGCCACTGACTGAGACTGAGGCTGAACTCTAAGGTCCAACTATTAAAATACCAAGGTCCAGCAATTAAAAAATTAAAACTCTAACTCTTTTTTTTTTTTTTTTTTTTTTTTTTTTGGTATACTGGCTAACCTATCCAACCAGGACTTACAAACTCACTGTAACACAGACTGACTTCCTCCTTTCTTCCTTTCTCCTTAAAAACCACTCCTATCCAAACATCCAATTTCTGCTTTTGCCAGATCCAGAGGCAGTCCCCTTGCCCTCCCTGGTATTAATCTCCTTTGTGCTGAGATTCTAGTGTCTGGGTGTGTCCTGTGCCAACTCCAAGGCTCCTTTAAAATGTAACTATGCTTAGTAAGATATGAGTAATGATGACAAGTATAACATAAAGGAGAACTTGCTGCTCTTTTAGTGTGTGCTAGGCATTGTTAAAGACCAATTCTCATTACAGACACAGGGGCATAAGAAATGCTATCTGTCTTTGGGATAGTTATACATAGGGCATGGGTTAGTGTTTTTGCCAGTAGTTTGAAGAAATGTTCCAGAGCAGTATGACTTCAATGCAAATGTGGTTTTTTTCTTTTGTTCGTTTGTTTTAAATAGCCAGTTTGGTTTTAACACCTGTGACTGTCTACTGTCTTTGTTAAGCCAAGCAGTCAAAGAGTCACTTTTTCTACATTAAGAAGTTGGCACTCTGTTCCTGGGCTCTGGGTGGTTCATTTTCCTGTAGTATATCTCTGAGGCATCACTGCTAAACTTCCCATACTTGTCTCCCTTGACCCCAGATTGTTTCTACATTGTCATACGTGTGAGAACCAGAGACCCCAGCCAGAAGTCTGGAATGCAGTGCTAATCATGTTAAAACCCTATGCAAAAACAAACAAGCAAAACCCAAGTATCTAAGGAGTCACAGAGGTTCTTATCCTTGGTTGAGGAACATGTTGGAGGATAAACAACTGGTTAAGATGGTTTTTAAAAATGAGGGTGTGCAGGGGAATTCCTCAATGGTTGTGGAATCTGCTGTGCTATTCTGTAAGATGAGGACTAGATTTAGATACCAATAACCCATATAAATGCCATGGATGGTTTGCGGCATGCCTGCAGTTCTAGCCTTGGAAGGTGGCTACAGGGAATCTTCAGAGCAGGTTGGCTAGCAAGACTAGCCATATCAATGAGCTCTGGATTTGACTGAGAGATCCTGCCTCAGTGAATAAGGTAGAAATATGATAGAGAATAATTCCTAACATCAATCGTGGGCTGTCACATGTATGAGCACACACGCACACACACACACACACACACACACACACACACACACTGAAAAAGAAAGTAAAAACCTTGGGAAGGTGGTGCACATCTCTATTCTTAGCATTTAGAAGGCTATTCTGGGCTATCTAGCAAATTCTAGGCTAACCTGGGCTACCTAGTGAGACCTTATCTTTTTTTAAATTAATTTATATTTTACATTCCAATCCCAATTCCCCCTCCCTTCTCTCCTCCTGCTTCCCCTATCCCACTCCCCTGCCACCTCCCATCTGTTCCTCAGAGAGGATAAGGCCTCTCCTTGGAAGTTTACTAAGTTTGTCCCATCATCTCCTTGAGGCAGGACCAAGGTACCTCTCCAGCCCCACGCCCCTGTATCTAGGCTGGGCAAGGTATCTCTCCATATAGAATAGGCTCCACTAAGTCAGGTTGTGCATTAGAGTTGGGTCTTGGGCCCACTGCCAGTGGCCTCATATATTGTCCCAGTCACACCATTGTCACCTGTAGTAAGGCAATCTAGTTCTGTCTTATGCAGGTTCCCCATTTGTCAGACAGAGTCAGTGATCTCTCAGTAGTTCAGGTCAGCTGATTCTGTGGGTTTCCCCATCATGGTCTTGACTCCTTTGTTCATATTATCACTCCTCCCTCACTGTGATTGCACTCTGGGAGCTTGGCCCATTGGTTAATTGTAGATTTCTGCATCTGCTTCCATCTGTTTCTGGAAGAGGGTTCTACCTTCTCTGGGGTTATGGATTATAGGCTGGGTATCTTTTGCTTTATGTGAGACTCTATCTTAAAAAATGAAATAGGAGGGAAATGGCGAGATGGCTCAATAGTTGAGAACGTGGTGCTCTTGCAGAGGACCCGGGTTCAGTTCCCGGGTCCCACATGGCACTAGTGGATCTGATGTCCCCTTTCTGACAGCACAGGTGCCAGATATACATTGTGCACATACATACACTCATGCAAGACACTTGTACTCATAACAAATCTAAAGGAAATAAAAGTTTAAATATTTCTTAAAAGTATGATTTAGGGATCATGGCTTAAAATTCAGAAAAATGGTCTGTAGTAAGAACTGGATGTTTGTCAATGCCACTAACCCAGTTCATAAGGTTTAAGTTGAATTTCTGAGGAGCAGTGGTCCACAAAATGTTCAAAGAGAACCTTAAAAGCATAAAATGTATGGCATCAAAAATAGGAAAAGAGTTAGTCATAAATTCTAAAGAGAAATGGGAAGTAGATTGGGAAAAATATGTCTCCCAAAAGATCTTTACCCTGAAGTATATGAGACCATTGCTTAAAAATGACTGTGAGTTTAATAAGGATATAAATGTAATAGCATCAAACACACAAGGAGTTGAGAGAATGGCATATACATCTTGAACTTTCAGCAAACTGTGTCCAGAAGCAACAGATTTCAGTGAAGAACCAGTGTGGGGGAGTGTGGCTCTGGTTGAGGGAGTCTGCTCTGAGCCTGGGAATCCGGAAGACAGGTTCAAGGGTGGAGCAATGAGACAGGAGAGGTAACTGTTGTGGAATGTCCCATGAGCCTCTTAGCCAGTGGGAAGCTGTAAAAGGTACTTCTCTGATATAAACTACCACAGGAGCCCAGGAGAAAAGCTCTGATGGAGGTGAGCAATTTCTACACAGTCCCTTTTGCTTCCAACAAGTCATTCAACACAATCTTCACTTGACCTTTGACAATTCAATTTCTTGAAAAAGACAAAATGAGAGGCTGGGGAGATGACCCAGTTGGTAAAGAGCTTGCAGTGGATGCATAAGGAACTGAGTTTGGATCTCCCAAAACTCACATTAGCAGCCGGGGGTGGTGGCTTATATTTGTAACCTAGCATTTGGGAGGCAGTCACAGGCAGGTAGATCCCTGAAGCTCCTTGGCTGGTTAACCTAGGTAAAGCGATGAGCTAGGTTAAAGGAAGGACTGTCTTAAATATAAGATGGAGAGCAACTGAGGAATACACTTGGTACCAACCTCTGGTATGTGCATACATCCATACAGACATGTATTTATTCCCTCCCCCCATACTCACACATACACACAGATCAAAAGAGCAGCAAATGATGACTCAGAGACTTAATTCTGATCTTCATGAACCGTTTCCAGACCCAGAGGTGGTGGGAGTTATGTAGAATGTGATCCCGGTACCCTTACAGGACATGGGATGTCATCTTAAGGAAGTGGATTTCAGGTTGCTGGTGAAGGAAATGATTCCCTCAGTTGCTACTCTGTTGCTATGGTGCTGAATGTGGGTGGAATGCCAACCCCCACTGAAGCCATCTCCATGAGAAACAAAGGCAGACACCTGAAGTCACCAAGGTGATGCATAGATTGCTGGTAGATGAATCCAGACTTAAAGATCGTGAGCAAAAGATGGGGAAGTGGCATAATTGGAGGCTGGTCTCCAAAGGAGCATAAACTTGCCCCAACTGAGAAACAGAAAAGCCTGGAGTTGGGGTTTATGGAAAGTCTGGGGTACAATAATAAGGCCAGCAAACGTATGGCTATGGATGAAGAAACAGAGGAGTGGTCCTGGCTACCCTGTTGCTTCTGTTATTTCTATCAATCAGAAAGGCCTACAAGTTGGAAAAGGTGAAAAGTAAGAGGAGGACAATGTGTGGGCAGTGAAGGGAGGAGGTGGTTTAAGAGAGGCTACCGTCTGGTCTTCAGAGAGACTTTGGGAACTTGGGTGGGTCTACTTCCTGCCTTCCAGCTTCCTCATTCTAACAGGGAGAAAGCCTGCCTTGTATATACCTCCACGCTTCTCTTCTAAATGCATACAGTATTATTTTCTAGACTGTGTCTATGTGCACTAAAGGTGATGAGCATGACTTAAATGGTTTGAAGTCATGGTTAATAAATAATTGTGAGTTCACTAGGCAAACATTTACCAAGTTGGGATTAAGAAGAGCTTTGCAAAGAACGTAGTAATAGATTTGATTTTTCAGATCTCAGAGCCAGCATCATCAACAGCCAGGAGGGAGGAAACCTGCAATCCATGATGCTCATGAGCATTGAGTGTGAGTGTGCCTCAGTTCACACAGCATTTAGACACAAGCTTCACATATGGCAGAGAATTACACAGCAATAAAGGATGCTATAGTTAGGCTTCACTTCAGCGTATTTTAAAAAATTAATTTATTCAGCCAATATGCTAGGGAGACAAGGATGAATTGAAGACTCATTTGAAGAGCCCAGTTTCTAGAGAGGGGGAGCTCAAGAAAACTTGAATGTACAGGCAGAAGGACCATGGGAGGGTGGGAGTTGCCCACCAGCCTCTAGCTAGCCCCTGTGGGGAAGTGTAGAGATTTTAGATACTTTACACAGGGACCGGGGATGCCTTGGAAGAGAGTCCCCCTCAGAGACAAAGATGACACAAACAGATCTGGAGAGAGACATAGTCTTCTCTTTCAGAAGGGGGTGGGGATCTGTTCTTGGGAGGAACAGGGACTCATGCATGCTATGAGGGCTTGAAGGTCACAGGCTCACCGGTGGATGAAGTGGTTTTCCTCCAGGTACTGGCAGCCACAGGCAATGTCCCGGGCCACATGCAGAAGATCCAACATGGCCAGGGAGGATGGCTGGTTCTGTGGGAAGACAAGAAGAGCAATAATGAGGCTTTTGTGGAAGAGAGAAAGATGGGGTATTGGTTTCTGTTGGGGGGGGGAGGCTGAGCCCTCTCATGCTGCTCCACCAGGTCCATCAGCCCTTTAAAATTCAGTTGCTTTGCCCCAATGATGGTCAAGGGGCCCATATTTTTGGATAGGCATGACTTCGTTTATTTAAAAGCACCATTGGTGGTCTAATGTACAGCCTGGGCTAGGGTTGTCTAGGCCACAGGAATTCAGCAGGGCAGACAATCTTACTCTTTTATGTATTCTACATTCTTCTACTCCAAAGGTCATGTGCATGCTACAACCTGATAAACAAGCCTGGGGGAAAACCAATGAAGAATAATGTTTTTGAAATCTTCTACTGCAATGTCTCTAAATGATCTGTATATTTATTCATTATGTTTTCTCATTTGTGTCTGTGTGTTGTAAGTGTGTGTGCCTGTGTGTGTGCAGGTGGTTATGCATGTGTGTGCATTACAGGTCCCAGGCTGATGTCAGGAATCACTAGCTCTCATCTTAGTCACTAAGGCAGGGTTTCTCAGTCACACCCACAGCACCACCTCTACATGGCTAATCTTGTTAGCCACCTGCTCTAGAGATCCCCTGTGTCAACCTTCTGGCTCTGGAACTGCAGGCAGGTTACCATGCTCATAAGATATTTACATGAGATGATGTGGGAATGCAAACTCCAGTCCGTGTGTGACAAGCACTTTTAACCACAAGTGTTTTAACCACCGAGCCATCTCTCCATCCCTTAAATGTTTTTAAACATGCTCCACTCCAATCTCTATGTTCCACCTGTACAGATGTTAAAGTCAAAGAATGGTAATGCAGGGGCTGAAGGCTGGGCTTCATGGGTCCACCTTAGAGTTCATCACACATTCTGTCCCTCAGTCATGAAACTACAGGCACATATGCTACCTCCATAAATATTCCAGCATGTTAGTATTTTTGTTGTTTTATGGAAAACTACAAAGCAGGATGCTGTGTATATTTGTGTGAGAGACGAGTTGGAATCAGTGGATGGAAAGCTAGTTAGTGACATGGTTAGCATGCAAGTCCCTTTGATTCAGAGTCATCAAGTCATAAAAAGATGACAGGCTATTGAATAAATTTTGTGTAAGACTTGCACAGGGGCCTTATGGCTGGTGTTCTTTCTGTCCACTCAATCCTGCCCAATTCTGTATCGGAACCATAGTGCTGATGACTCCTAGGATCCCATCAAGCAGGCAACGTCCTAGGCAACCCACTCCTGCCCCCCTCACCCTTGATCTTTTACTGAAAACGGAAGGGAAGATTGGCTCTCACTCACTCACCGGGCGAGGGCGTGTCTCCCTGAGGAAGGACTTGAGGTCTCCACCAGCCATGAGCTCCAGCAGGATGAAGCGGGGCAGGGCTTGCAGACTCACCCCGATGCAGCGAACAATGTTCTGGTGGTTAAATTTGCTGCAGGACAGAGGGCGGAACCAAATACAACTGAGCTGGGTCTGGGACCATTAAGAGAAGCAGGACACTGAGTCACAGTTGCAGCAACCATGCAGTAAAGCTGCATTCTGTATGGGAGAGCCTGAGGTGAACCTCCCTGGGGAGCTGCACAGATGAGGCAGGCCCCGTGGGAGGTGAATTAGCAGGAAGGAATTCTATTGGAGTGGCAAAGTATATGTACGAGTGCATGTGTGCATGCATGCATAAATGTGTGCATCTGTACATGTGTTTGTGTTTGTGGGTGGGCATTGCTACATGAATTCATACTTCAGCTCTTTAAGAAGGGTCTCAAGTAGAAGATGAAGGACTGGTTTGTGGAAGGGACAGCATGTGACCTGCAGGGGGACGGACTGTGTGAAAGAGAGTCAGGAAGAGATATGGCCCCACTGGTCTCTGCAGGCTCCTGTGGACTCCACAAAGGCAGGGACTGAATGAGACATGAGGTACTGAGATTTGGGTTATCTTGTCATTTTAGGATATGTAGAGCTGTGGGTCTAGGAAGTCCCACATGGACACACACGGACATACACATTCTCTCTCTCTCTCTCTCTCTCTCTCTCTCTCACACACACACACACACACACACACACACAGACATACACACACAGTTGAAAGATTGGTGATTATATTGGTAAATTACAGCCATTTATTATTACCTAGTAGGAATATTACATAATTAAGCTTCCTATTTAAGTTTATACTTTTTAGGTTTTATTTAATACTCTCACATTACATATATAACTGGAAAATGCCCCGAGGGGTACGATCTCTGTGACTTTACCTGATGATCAGGGCTTCCATGAGGAAATCCAGCTCATCTTGTTCTGAACACACTTCTGGCAGTGTCTGGAAGGGAGGGCGGGAGGAGAAGGTGGCTGTGAGCTCTGGGTTGTAGCCTATAGGGACCTCAGACTAAGGCTAGGCGAAAGGTGGAACCACCCCTCACCTTTACCGCCACTTGTAGAGGGCTTGGGTCATTGGGCATTCCAGATACCTGGCCTTCATACACCTCCCCAAATGCGCCATGGCCTAGGCCCCTGTACCGAGAAGACAAGATAAGTCATAGTTAAGTGAGCCACAGGCAGCCGGGGTCCTTGAGATATGTGTCACTTTCAGTGTACACAGACAAGAGGTTGACACATTCAGGAGTTACACCTTCAGCTTGGTTTGCTATGTCACCCTGGGCCTCCATTCATTTATTATTTCTTTTAAAAATTATCTTATTTTGTTTTTATTTTAATGAAAATGGATAGTTTCTCATACAATGTCTTCTGATTGTAGTTTCTGCTCGTCCAACTTTTCCCAGATCCTTGCCACCCAAATCCACATCCTTTCCTTCTCACTCTCATTAAAAAAACAAGCAGGCATCTAACGACCAATAAATAAATAAATAAATATAAATAAATAAGTAAAATAAACAAACCAACAAGCTGCAAGGGCAAACCAAACAAGCAAACAGGAAAAAAAAGAGCCTAAGAAAAAAAATATAAGAAACACATATAGATTCAAGAGAAATCCCTTAAAAACATAAAACCAAAAATCAAAGTATATAAGCCAAAGACTTGTAAGCAAAACAAAACAAAACAAAAAACCAATCAACCAAACAAAAAACCCACTTCCCTAAATATCATTCTTTTTGCATTGGCTGGGCATGGGGCCTGCCCTGAAGTGTGGTTTGAACAGCCATTGAGACTGTTGGAGAAAACTCATTTTTCCTCTTCGATTGAGGCCTCCATTACTTTACCTGAACTCTGGTGAGAACAAGTCTATTAAGATTTGGAGGTGGTTTGTGGTTCACCAGCTGGAAAGCAATCCTGACTGTGAGGTGTTAGGAACGTGGAAAACTACTGATGGGAAGTGATCTAGATAGGACAAAGGCATTAGGGTGGCATCCCCCTTGGGCAGATCCTGGTGGATCATAAGCCCAGCTGTCTTTGCCAGCAAAGGAGGTCATCACCAGATATAGTCAGAGACCTTGGATCCTAACTCTGAGCCCAAGCAAACCCCTTTTCTTTATAACTCACCTAACCTGTGTTACCATGTCCCCAAAAACAGAAAATGGATTAAATGCAGTTCTAACCAGGGATTCATGAAGATGGTCAAATGTTCATTCATTCAGTGAATATTTTGTAAGTCTCTGGTATCTGCCAGGGACACGGGCAAGAGATGACTTTGGAAGAGGGTGGTAACTCCTAGGGACAGGGACAGATGATTGACACATCCTTGCTGTGGATCATTGCAGTGAATGATAGAGGAAATGATAGGTGTTTTGGTTCAGAGAACAAGGGGGTGGGGTCTAGAATCTTTGGGACAGGGTGCATGATGGGTATTGAGAACTTTTATTCTTCTCATCAGTTTATCCTTCTCATTGCATAAACTGCATGAACACATATGGTTTTGAAACAAGCAAACATCCCCATGAGCCTTGTCCCCTGAGAGGCTGCAGGTATACTCCTTGAGCTTAAGGAGTCCACTGTATAGAGAAACAGGTCCAGCCCTGGGAGAGTGGCAGGAAGCTCACCGGATGAGGGTGATGTTTTTCCGTGGCACCTCCTTCAGGTCACTGATGGATGAGGTCTTGCCAGCAAAACAGTAGTTGGGGTTGTAGTCTGTCATGATGGTCGAGGTCCGGAGCTTGCTCAGCTTATACTCAGGGCTCTGCAGCTCCATCTGCATAGCTTGCAACTCCTGGTGCTTCCGGCGGTACACTGTAGACAGATGGGGGTCTGTTGTGAGCAAGCCTGGACCATGTGGCCTTCATCTCCTCTAGACCTTAAACTGAACTTTCCCATCACTGTTAGCAATGCTGACAAAATGATGATGACCATCAGCGTACTCCTTCATCATGGGAAGCAAGTGTGAAGCCTAAACCACTTCACTGGAGAGATTTTACTGTGTCACACAGGAATGGTGTTTTCCTTCAGTTGCTGTGATAAAATAGCCAGGCAGAAGCAATGTCAGGGAGAAAGGGTTTCTTTTAGCTCACAGTTCTAGGATACAGTCCATCTGTGTAGGGAGGTCAGGGTGGCTGGCAGGAACTTGAAGTGGTTTGGTCACATCCACAGTCAAGGTCAGAGAAGGAATGCATGCATGCTTCCACTCATCTCACCCTCTCTCTTCTTAAATACAGGTCCAGTAGCCAGACCTGCAGGGAACAGTGCTGCCCATCTTTAGGCTGGGTCACCTCACATCTATTAACCCAATCAGGAACATCCCTCACAGACATGTCTACGGGCCAACCTAAATTAGACAATCTGTCATCGAGTGACCTTCTCAGGTAATTCTACACTGTGTCAAGTTGAAAATTGAAACTAAACTGCACAGTGGACATGCCAGGGTTTTATTAAGGAGATGGCTGAGATCCATTAGATTTTAAGGGACGATACAGGGAAGGTTAAGGACATGCTGAGGCCACACAGGGGAAGGATGTATTAGTGAGGTTCTTGTAGAGCATTTTGGGATCCAAGATGACCATCAGAGGTATCTCATGTCTCCTATGAATGAGTCTGCCTGCACACTTCTGGGACATTTCCTCTGCCCATCCATCAGTGCATGGTGGTTCATATTGAACCTCCATGATATGAGGTTGGGATGGGAAAGGCTCAGAAACTAGCTTCCTTCTTTGGTTGAGTGGGAGGACCTGGCCAGCACAGCTTGAGCTGTTACACAGGGAGTGGTCCTCAAACACAGAAGAGCTGCCAGTGAAGGTGGGGGTGCAGGAAAAGATCTCTCCATCATGTTGGTCACTGAAGGATACCCATCCCTGTGAGCAGCCAGGAGGCTGTGCAGAGTCAAAGACAAGCATCCAAGACTCCTCCCTGAAACAGCAGATTAAGGTGGGTGGAGGGCTGATGCTTCTGTCCTCACTTGGCTTAGTTCACCCAGCATGGCAGGGTGATGCCTGGTGTCCACTGCACATCCTGAGACCCTGCTCTTGCCCGTCCTGGCTTGGAAACCCTGGGGCTCTGGCACACTCACCAATCATGATGCCGGAGAATGCCAGGACAAGGGCAGCCACCAGGGCAGAGGTCACGACGGAGAGGATCAGTGAGAGCGGCAGGTGGGGTTCCGGGGTGGGTGACACTGGAAGACAGGTCCCGATGGGGCACTGACCACTATGTTGACTCTCCTCTGAGCAGGTCCCAAGTCAGAAATACCCTCCCCAGCTGGAAAAGCCACCTGCTGTTTCCCGTCTCTGGAGATCTTGTCACACCTCCCTTTTCAGGGGACCATGGGCCCTAAGCAGGCTCATCCTGGTTTCACAGGCTCCCAGAAGTAGCTTTGGGGTAGAGGGAAAATTCAACAGGGATGAATATCAATCTTGGGTGTTGGCTCCAAACATCAGCTGCACAAGGTTGGGGTGAGCTCAGAAGGAGAAACAGAAGTGGACATGGAAGAGACTTGGGGACCATAGGGAACTCCGCACCCAGTAGGACCCAGCAGTCGAATCCCTTGGAGACACCCTCAGAGGTGGAATTACTTCTTATGGTCCCAGAACCGAAGGTCTTCTGAGGCCCATCTGAGCCAGCCTGTAATGTGGCTCACAAAACTCTCTTCCCCCTTTCTCTCCCCTCCCCTTCTTTGTCCCTACCTCCTCTCCTCTGCTCTCCTCTCCTCCCCTACCCTCCTTCCTCCCCTCTTCCTCTCCTCCCCTACCCTCCTTCCTCCCCTCTTCCTCTCCTCCCCCTTCCCTCCTCTCCCCTCCTCCTCTCCTCCCCTACCCTCCTTCCTCCCCTCTTCCTCTCCTCCCCTCCCCTCCCCTCCTCCTCTCCTCCCCTACCCTCCTTCCTCCCCTCTTCCTCTCCTCCCCTCCCCTCCCCTCCTCCTCTCCTCCCCTCCCCTTCCCCTCTCCTCTCCTCTCCCCTTCTCTCCTCTCTTCCCCTCCCCCTCCTCCTCTCCTCCCCCTTCCCTCCTCTCCCCTCCTCCTCCCCTCCCCCTTCCCTCCTCTCCCCTCCTCCTCTCCTCCCCCTTCCCTCCTCTCCCCTCCTCCTCTCTTCCCCTCCCCCTTCCCTCTCCTCCCCTCCTCCTCTCCTCTCTTCCCCTTCCCCTCTCCTCTCCTCTCCCCTCCTCTCCTCTCTTCCCCTCCCCTCCTCCTCTCCTCTCCTTCCCTCTCTTCTTTACTTTTCTCTTTCTTCTCCTCCTTATTCCCCTCTCCTCGTCTTCTCTAGCCTTTCCCCACCCCTCTCCCTTTCTTCCCTTCCTCCATTCACCATCTCCCGTTGGATTGAACTCAAGAGTCTAGTGTATACCAGTCAAATACTCAACCACTGAGCTACACCCCCAGACCTTTGTGTATGTTTAATTTTGAGACAAGATTTGATTAAGTTACTCAGGCTAGCCTTGAACTCCCTCTGTAGCCCAGGCAGGTCTTGACCTTTCCATTCTTCTGTCTCCACTGGGATTAGAGGCCTGTATTCCCAGGCCTGGCTTGGAACTACATGTCCCAGAGGAGACTTGGAGCATGTAGAGGAGGGATTCTAGCATGGGAAGCAGGCTTAGGCCTCTATCTGTGTGATCAAAAACGAATAGGTCTTGAATGTGGAGATGACTCAAAATCAAAAGCATTCTTATTGAGTGTATGTGCTGAAGGCTGGGTCCAGTCAGGAACCATATACAGGAAACTCAAAGGCACAGGGCCTGGGCTTGGAAACTCCTTGACATGAGGGTGTCTTAGGAGAGCTCTGGTCCATTTTGCTGGGTACTTGAGTAGAGATAGGATGTCTGGCCCCTTGGTGAAGATGCTGGAGGTTTGTTTCCTGGCTAAGGGAAGGGTATAGGCAATTCTGAGACCCCTTCAGGTGTGATGACCCACCTTTTGTACAAGGTCCCTTTGCTCAGTTGCTAGAACACGAGCAAGAGAGGAACAAGACTTTTAGAAAACAGCTGGATTTCTTCAGTTGGCTCAAGCCCTCTTCCCATCTCCCATTACTGCTCCTTACCAATGCAGGAGACACCATCGTCAGCCAGCACGGTCCCATGGTCACAGAAGCAGATGACTTTGTGGCTCTCGGGGTCCATGTGGCATTCGTCTACCTCACAGTGACTGCAGTTTAGATAATGCTTGATATTCACTTCCCCATGACCCTCCATCACTGTGACAAGGAGGGAGGGTCAGTCTCAGGATGAACAGGAATATTGATCAATTGATCGCCCTATACCCTCAGGTCCCCAACTTTAGACTTTATCTCTGGCTGCTTGATGTGGGTTCTGTGGTCCCTGTCCCAGGTCCCTCTGCTACTTCGAGCACATCTCTGTTTGGGAAAGCATCTTTGGGCTCCTAGTGAGCCGCGCTGAGAGTGAGGATGTATGTTTGTCTCTGTATGATGGTATAGGTGTTCTAGGTACTTTTGTGTCATTTTCTAGGACCTGCCTGCCTGGTGGTCCATATCCCACCTCCCCCTACATTCAATCACACTCTCCAGCTTCCACAAAGTATGATGAGATGAGCTATAGAAAGACTTGGGTTATAAAGTGTCCTGTAGTCCACGCCTTGGTGTCCTAACCCTATGTCAATAAAGTCCATATTTTGGCTTGGTGAGAGAAGGGGCTAAAGTCTGTGTTATCACCTGGTAGAAGGGTACCTTTTAAGGCCGGGGTGTACAGGATACCCAATGGACTGATGAAGGAAACCCCATCTTCCCCATCCATTTCGGGGTCATTGTTTGATGCTGCATTGCCACCTGTGGCAAACCAGAGAAGAGTTGAACCCCAAAAGGTGGGTGCCCAAGTCTCAACACACATGCATATCAACAAGCATGCAATATGGCCAAAGCTATGGGTCAGCGGGGGCTGTGGGGTAGGGAGGCAGAGAGGGAAGGGAGCTTCCAGGCACAGAGGCTGCACTTTGGCTTAGCTCTGCAGATGTTTGGTGTACATCAATTTCCCTTCCAGGTTGGGCCAGATCATCCAGGGGAGCCTCTACTACACTGATGAGGCCCCAGTACTAAGTGAGCAAGAGTCTAGAAGTTTCTAGTCTCTTGAGGCTGGGGTGCATCCTTGTGGCTTGGAGGAGTTGCTCTCTGGAACCTTGGGGGTCAAGATGGGGCCTGGGTGAGATGAGCTGCTGTGCCTTCAGGCTCCTGTCCCTCCTTTCATCAGGAATTGGGTGATCTTGGGGTTCCCCCTGGGGTCCTCCCATCCACCCAAAGCTTGGAAGGGAAGCCTGTGTGGTTAGCACAAGCATTTCCATATAGCGACAAAGTGAAACACAGACACAGACATCACAGTGCTGGCATGCAGTGTGTCCTAATCTGGGGGAGGGTGGGGGTGTCATCTGCCAGTCTTTTAGCTGCAAACTCTTCCCAAGGCAGTGGGGGACCAACAGCAGGTTGTTTGCTGCAGGACTGGGTTGAAGCCACCCCAGGTGGCTTCTGGGAGTAGTTCCCACCTGCATGGACATTGCTGCTCTCTAGCAGCTGTTGGGCTGGGCAGAAAACTGAAATCGAGGAGCCCATGAAACTACAGACCAGTCCCTTCTATGCTGGCTTGGCCAGGTCCCCAAAAGGAGCTGTAGGGACTAGAAAAGTCTGAACTTCAGGGCTGTGTGGTCCTTGTGGTGGCTTATGCAGCCATCTGGAAAGCCAAACACGTTTTATGTTCAGCTTTGAAGGGGCAAGGGATCAAGGATCACATAGGATCTTGATGCTGTTGCTACCAAGCCTGGAGGCAGGATGCTGGCTCAGAAGCCAACACCCTACCTCTGGCGGGCCCAAGCCAGGCAGAGGGGAGGGGAGCATGCAGTCACACAGTCCACACTGGGGGGGGGGTGATGGGGGCAGGAAAGTGACAGGGAGGGAGGAGCCTAGGACTAAGAGGGGAAAGAGTGACACCTAGAACACAAATCATCTTTACCTATATATCCTCCGCCTCCTCCACCTGAGGAGCACCCCCCTCCACCCCCTCCGAAACCCCCTCTTGTCTCCCACCCCCACTTCTTCATGGCCTGGGGGCAGGAATGTCCTCCAGCAGCGCCCTCCAGCAAAGACTTTCCGGCCCAGAGCAAGGAAGTGTTATCATTCCAGCCGCCTCCACCACCTGCGGGAGAAATGAGAGCCTCTCTGAGGAGCTGGTGGGGACTGAGAGGAGAGCAGAGCTGAGAAGTTGGGAAGAGGATGTGGTGGGGTCTGGGGGGAGCACTTCCATTTGTCCTGTTCCAGGGCCTGTTCATGGTGGGAGCTAGGAGTAGCATGCAGTTGGCACTAGGGACACCTCTTAGGACACACCATGTGCCGACACAGTTGTGCCTGGTGCCCTGCCTCCTGGCAGGCCTCTCTAGCTCAGGGGTAGGCAGCAGTGGACGCCAGTAGGTATTGGAAGGACACTGGGGACAGGCAGAACGATGGCAGACGTTCTTACTGCATGGCTGCCACCTCCTGAAGGCACACATTTACTTCACTTTTTCCATCTTAACGAGACCTGTGGCCCACTGTGTGGCCAACTGCTGGGTACCTGCAGGGTTGGGGTCCTGGGCCTTCACAGATTAGTCCAGGCAAGCATCAAGCCAGCAAGATAGCTTCAGAGGCAGCGGTGACACCTGCCCCCTTCTCTTGATAGTGGTGTCAGTGGGAACAGATCCCATCACTCAGTGCTTAGTGACACTGATTCCTTCAGGGTCCCTGAGAGATTTCTGGGAGAGGGTGGGGCTTTACCTGCGGCTCCGGAATTGCCGTTCAGCCCTAGAACTGAGGAGTTATTCTCCAGTCTCTCTGGGTGGAATGTGTCTGTCTTGGCCCCATAGGCCCTGCCACCACCACCAGCTGCAATGATCAGGGGCACAGGCACTCCATCTTTCATCTGCCCAGGAGAGACATTCAGAGATAGAGAGAATGAGCTGGGCATCCATTAGGGAGTTTCTATACCCCAGTGTAAATGTTCAAATTTAACAACTTGCAGGGCAGTGGGGTGACTTCTCTATCTGTAGGGGTTTGAGGGCCCCAAATTGATGTTATAGTAACCTTCTCTGATCAGTTTCTGTATCAGTTAGGGTTCAACCAGTGATGCAAGCCCACTAGGGTACCCACCTCTTAGGTTACAAGTGGATGGATCTTGGAGGATCTTTCCCCAAGCCCCTTCCCTGAAGCTCCTTGGAGGTCTTGTTGCTGGTGATTAGAAGCAGGTCGTGCTTTGGCCTTTTCTGTACTCTCAATCATCTCTTGGACTCCAAGTTCAAGAATAAGCCCCCTAGAATCACCATCTCCAAGGGAGCACCCAGCAAGAAACTCATCTTTCAGTCTGTAGCCTAGCTTTGGCAATGTTAGAAGAAGTCTGCCTGGCCTGGTTGGACAAGGCAAAGGCACCAGGACACCCTTTCTTGGGTAGACAAACCTGAACTCCCTCTGGACCACTGTTTCTCATCCTTAACTTTACACAGAACATCCCATAGGCTCCCATTTAGGTTTGTTCTGGGACTGTAACACCATGTTGGACGGAAGCCATTGCTTTATCTTCAGAGAGGACCTCACCTTAAACACGTAGGTGGCACCACCCCCACCACCTCCTCCTCCTGCCCACTCATGCACGCTTCTGTTCACTCGGATCTCTTCTTCTATCACGTTGTTCTCGCCGACACAGACTTTCTGGATTAGTTGGTTTGCCTACACAAACAAACAAACAAACAAACAAACAAACAAATTCCACCTCATTAGGTTTGTGCCCAAGTCAGGGACCTTGTATGCTTAAGGTAGGATCTGATCACATGTCAAATAACTTATGTTTGAATTGAGGAGACAAACATAAATACACACAAACAATGATCACGTTGAGCAGTGTTAGGAAAGGCCATAGGTCAGCTTGCATACAAATGTTATGAAAAGCTAAGGGTTGGATTGCAGCTAGAGGACTTCCTCCAGGTGGCAGCTTCCTCTAGGTGGGCTATAGAGTACAGGGAGGATTTTAAGACAGACAAGGAAAATTTGGGTCACTCCAAGGAGAAAGAGTAGCATGACCCACAGTGAAGGAGGTAAGTGAGTGTGTGGGGAAAGGCTTAAGGTTCTCTTGCTAAGAAAAGTCTAGCTAGTCCACAGGGTCCAGTTAGGATCCCATGGCTGCTGAAGATGTGAAATGGGTTGGAAATTGGGTTGTGAAATGGGTTGGAGGGCATAGAAGTGGGGTAACTACAGCGATTAGATAAGTAGGCAGGTCATGGGGGCAGGGCCTTGTGGATGATCAGAATTGGACTTGGGAGTGGAGAGTCAATGAGCGCTTTCTCTTCCTCCCTCTCTCTCCCTTCCTGACTCCCCCCTTTCTTTCTCTCAAGTTTCAGTCCTGGAGAAGTATGCAGAAAATGAAAGATAAATACAGAACAAATAAGCAAAACCCAACAGTGGAATTTCACTCTCAGCTCGCCTGTGGGAAAGTAATTTCTTCATCTCAGACATCTCAGTTTTCTCACCTAATGTCCCATTTCCTGTTTCTAGAAATCTCCAGCATGGCCCCAGGTAGAGGGTAGAGTTCCCTGGCTGCCATGGAGAGGAGGGAGTGGACTGCAGAATTGGACAGCTACACTCACCATCACTTTAGGTGACTCAGTGGTGTTCAGGTGTGGGATGGAAATAGTGACGTCACAGGTTTATGGAGACGGGGTGAGCCATTACCATTGGGGTCACACTTGTTAAGGATGGGGAGATGACTGAGTTAGTGCTTCATTAGTTTCAGTTCTGGGCCTCACAGGTTCCTAGTGGGATGTCTGTAACACAAAACCCTGGAATCCTGGGAGGAAGAGCCTACTGTCTGAAGAACAGTCATACCTGGCTTGTCTGATGCAGCTCAGATGAAATCTCTAAACACCAGCCTGACCTCAGAAGAAAATTACTTTCCTTTCACTTAATGGAATAAAAGCCAATAAAACATCAAATTTTCATCAAACGCCGCTGCAGAACCAGCCAGTGGACACGGCAATCCATCTTGAGCCATTCCTTATGCTAAAGTATTCAGGAGTGCCAGCAGTGGGTACTTGAGAAATTTCCAGATAAACAGCTGAGATGCAATTTGTTTGATGGCATTTTGGATTTAATGATGGAAATAATTTGACATTTCTTAGAGTGGATTTAGTGTGCATGGAAAGTTCTGGACTGCTCGGGTAGAGCTAAACATTTCTCTCATGTATATGCAGCGATGCCCAGGGCTGTAGGGAGAAGGCTGGGATAGGAGTGGGTGGGTGCGGGGGGACTGGGAGAGGATGGGGAGCTGCAAGTTGAGCAGTTCTTTCATGAGGCTTTGGGTCCTGGGCTTGCATCCACGTATAAATAAGGGTTGTTTACTGACACCAGCAGAGTTGCAAAGACCGGCTTCCACACCTGTCTCTCCCTCCTTCTCTCCTCTGGCAGTCAGCAGTGTGACCTCCACATCTTTCTGAGAGAACTGATTCTGGAGACTTTGGATACAGTGTCAGGCAAGAGCAGTGGAGCCCGAGGATGGCTTGTCTTCCAACTAGCCCTTTAAACAGGGCAGAGGATGCCCAAGAAATGACCCCTTCTCAGCTAGCATCTCTGTGGCTCAGCAGCAGCCTCTGGTGGAGACAGGGCACTTCCCCTGATTCCAGGGACTCTGCCTGCCCCAAGTCCCTCCTACCTCCCTGGCTCATTGTAAGTTTCTCTTCTTTCTCCTTCTAATCTCTAAATGCTGGGGACCCAGGGCTCGTCCTTGGTTCCTCTTTGTTATTTGTATTATACCACAGGCAATCTCAGCTCGTTTGAACTTTATGCTGACTGATGCCTTCCACCCTGGACAGCTCTTCTAAATTCCAGTCAGTGGTCTACCGCTGTTGCCCACCTGCCATCACCTGTTGTGTACCAGATCATCACAGTCAGTGTATTTGACCTTCACCTCCTGACCTTGCTGGGTTATTTGTTTGTTTTGAGGCCATCTCACTTGTAATTGAGGCTAGCCTGGAACTCACTACCTAGCTCAAGCTGACCTTGCACTTGTTGGGGTTGTAGGCATGAGCCTGGCCTCTTCTGCAGCGTTCTTTGGTAGGTGACAGCAGCTCTTCAATCCTTGGAGTCCCTCTTGACCTTTTTTTCTCTCAGTTTCTCATATAATCATACAGGAAGCCCTTTTGAATTTTATATTCCAAACATGCCCTGTATCCAATAATTTTCCACACCTCCACTTTGACCACGCTGGTCCAAGCCCCCAGCATCTCTGACAGGATGAATGCAGTAGCCTTTGAATTTGGTGCTTGACTCTTTGTCCCTGTGAGATCCAAGCTTCCTGGTATAGCCATGGCAAGACTTTGGAGGTACAAGCCATTATGTTAGCATTTGGCTTTGAGGTTGTATGCATCATTACAGTGACATGGCCCAGCACATTTCCTTTGTCCTCACCTCTTAGCTACCTGCTTTGCTCCTCCCTTCCTTCCCTCAGGTGCACAGGCACACGCCCACCTCAGGCCTTGGCCAACTCCTGCTCTTCTTGCTAGAAGAGAAATGCTTCATGTGTAAGGGTCCCCTTTGTTCAGCGAATGTCTCAGTTTCCTAGAATGGTGGATGGTACACACAGGGACTCAATACATGCTTGTGGAATCAGTTTGAACAGACAGAGAGAACTGGCTGGCTCACGTATTGGCCTTCCTGGTGTTTGGTGGGTGAGAATATGGGGCTTGGCAATTAGGTTAGTGACTTTGCCATCTAGAGGGCAGCTGAGATTTTTCAGGAGGTGTGTTTTGATGGTTGTTTTTGGGGATATTGCTGGCATCAAGTGGTAGAGAAGAATGTGATTGCTGGTAAACATCATACATGACAAGGAACAGCCTCTCCCCCCCTCACCACCATAAAGAAACTCTACTCTAAAATGCCAAAAGTGCTTTTGTGGAAGAAGCCTGATTAATACCCTCATGCTATGAGGCAAGGTCTTGTAGGAAATAGATTTTTCCTGTCTTGTCTCCATCTCTGCCTGTCTCCTTGTCTGTCTCTTCTGTCTCTGTTTCTATCTCTATCTCTTTCTGTGTCTCTGTCATCTCTCTCTCTTTCTCTCTCTCTCTCTCTCTCTCTCTCTCTCTCTCTCTCTGAGTGTGTGTGTGTGTGTGTACAGGGGTGTTTTTCAGCAGCAGCTGGAGCTGACTTCCTATACCAGGAGCTTGGGATAGCCCAGTACCAGGTACAGAAACTCCCACAGATCTGTAGTTAAGCCAGTTGAACTGCACCTTAGTTCTTAGAGCTCACTTCAGTCTAATTTTTTTTTTCAGTAAAAACTGGAGGGGTAGATAATGCCCAGCATGTCCCTCTTGCCTAAGGATCGACAGGGAGAGTATTCTGGAACCAGGAGGTCCTTCTCATGTCCAAGTGTGCATGGCATGCCTGACCCGACCAGCAGAGGGTGCTTCCCTTTGCTCCTGGCTGAGATGGCTTCCTCCTGCCCTCCTAGGAATGCTCCCTATGCATCCACAAAGTTTGAGAACAAGTAGGTTGATTAATAAGAATGATAAAGTGCAGCAACCTAGAGGAACAAGTAGATTACAATTGAATTAAAAAAAAGGACATAGTCCCGTGAAAAGACATAACTGATTACAATCCAATCAAGTAAAAGTCCCTTGCAGAAGTCAATGCAATCTTTCTGCTTAGATGAAAGAATTACATTAACACTCAATAAATTCCCGTGGAAATTACAGCAGCCTGTAATTTAATGACTTAATATATTATAACAGCCTGCAAAATCCTGATTATAGTTCCTAAATAAAAGTTGGAGTGGAGGCATTTCTCAGACCCGTGGTTGTACCCACCAGGCTCAGTGCTCTGGTGTGTTAATGCTGGGAGGAGTGGGGGTCCCAGGAGACTAAGCTCAAGTGAGAACTTGCTGCCCCCTGAACCCACAGCCCATCACCTGGCTCTTTGGAATGAGTTTGTTTTGTGGAATTAAACTGCTTTCTTGGTAGCCATGGCTCCCCCAGGCTGTCCTCCCAGGCTGCTGGGACAATTCTTGGAGAAGGTGCTGTGCCAGGCCCTGGGATCCAGCAAAGCTGTGCTTCAGGGGAGGGCATTGGCCTGACCCAAGCAGGATAATCTGCTCTCCTGGGGCACCGCCAGGGTCCTGCCACCCCACTAACACTGGCAAAGCAAGAGCCGACAACTGGGGGTGTCTGGGGCTTCTACAGCTGCTATCTAGTTAGCCCTCACTGTCTTGTTCTATGGGTTACTTCCCAGTGAGGCCAGGAACAGTCAGGCGATGTGTTATATAAGTGGAAATGGGAAGAAGGTCACAGAAACAAAAAACAAGTGTCGGACACCGCCAACACGAATGCTCTAGAGTTCTGGGCCACTTTGTGAGTGACATTGGGCAAGCCCCTTCACCTCTGTTGTTCCCCCCCCCTTTCCTCATTTATAAAATGGAAGCGTAAGATTTAATCCTGAAACATCCCCCACACTCTGAATGCTTGTTTCCCAGTTGAGAAGGTTGTTTTGGAGGTGGGGGAGTGTTTAGGGGGTGGGGCCTAACTGGGGAAAGCAGGTCATCAGGGAGGGGCCTTGAAGGTTTTTCTTGCCCTTGGTTCCTGCTTCTATCTCTCTGTTTCCAGATGTGCTATTATGAAGTTTTCCATCCCTTCTGCACAATGATGGACTGAGACCCTTGGAAACTATGAGCCAAAATGAATGTTTTTCCTTCCAGTCATTGTTTCTGGCACAATTTTTGTCAGAACATAAAATTAATGGGAAATGGGCTACCCACATTCTGGCTCAGTCTATTCTATGCTTTAAAAACTTTTAGTTTTAATCACACACATAAATAATATTTGAAGACATTCTTTTACTTCTTTTCTTTTTTTTTTTTTTTTGAGTTAGGGGTTCCTGTGTCCTAGGCTGACTTCAAACTCCATACGCAGCCAAAGGCAACCTTCAACATCTGATTCTCCTTTCCATCCCCCAAGTGCTGGGATTACAGGTGTGTTCCATCATACCCAGGAAAAACAAACAAACAAACAAACAAACAAACAAACAAACAAACCCTCCTGCAAGTTAGGCAAATAGTCCCAGACCCGAGAACATTCTTTTTGTGATATTGTCAGACATTTGCTGGCCAGCACCAATCTAGTGTCCTCTCAGGAAGTGTAGCTACTGCAGCTGTATCTTTCAGACACTTTTTTTTCCTTTGGGCATTTTTATGCACCCCTACTTTTGAGTGAATGTAAAATATTAATTTTTTCAGTATGCATACATATGGTTATATACACTACAGCAGTGTGTCAGCCACAGCATTCAGAGGGAGGCTGCTTCTCCTACTTCATTGTAGAACATCCAGCCTTGGTCAAATTAGGATTCAGACCTTGGCTTCAAGTCACTCATGAAACCCGTGGCTCAGCCGTGGCTCCTATAGGACTATAAAACTCCGCTAGGCCACATTCCCTGTGTCCGCAAGCACCAAACGGCCTTAGGAAAGGAACTCACAGGTGGAGTTGGTGCACTTTGAATATGAGTCCCAGGCCACCCAGCAGGTCCTGGGACAAGCCCCTACTCTGAGCACTTACCCTGGGACAAGCATCTTCCCCTTGCTGGCCGACAAGGATGTACAGCATGTCATCCTTCTCCAGGTTGAAGATGCCCAGGACGGACACGCCGTGGGACCGCATCATAGTGTTCTTCCCACCTTTTCCACCAGCTGCTCCATAGCCTGAGATGCTGTAACAGGTCAAAACACCACGGTTCCCACTGTGGTGGGAGACTGAGTGCCTTGCCACCTGTCAACACATGGGGTTTCAGGGGCCCAAGCACCTCCCCATCATGTCTGAGAATTCCTGTCCACACAGCTCCGTGAGTTCAACCAGGAGGGAGATCCTCCCCACTGTTGGGAGAAAGCAGTCAGTTTAGAGGCTTGAGGGATGGGGGAGCATGGCACATGGGACACACACCTGGAGTTACTCAGTCATGGAGCTAGGAAGATGAGAGATTAGATAGACGTTCCAAAGAGTGAGATAGGGAGGCAGCTGGGTTTGGGAAAGGGTTGACACCTAGGCCCTATTTGGGATGGGATTTCCCAACCTATAGTCAAGAGTCATGTGACCCTAGACAAGCAACCTCCCTGTTCCTTATATATGATTGGAAAATTAAAAGACCTTATCTCTTATCCCACAAGTGTTATGGTCAATAAAGGACTTCAGCCTTGAAGTCCTCTGGGCTAACACACAATAGACACTCAGTAAATGTTCCTTGTTAATGGGTGTAAATGGCAGTAGTAGCTAGTAGGATCTGGCTTGGTACAAAGTTTGATACTCTCTCCTCGGGGCCCAGAAACAAGAAGCATCATTCGAGGATACTGAGCTTATGAACCCAGACTGTTTATTCCATTCCAGCAGTAACTCATCCTGGAGCAATCTGTGCAGAAAACAAACTACTGATCACAATGAAAATAAAAACAGAGTGCCTGGATGTGGAATTAGATCCGCCACCTTTGAGATGGCTGAGATGGATCCCAGCAAGGATGGGGAGAAACTCAATCCTTGAACCATGGCAGAGGAATGACATGTCTTGAAGACAGCCAGCATACCACCTGACAAATGCTAACAAATACCTCTCTGGAGAATAATTGCCAGGGGGCTCAGGGAGGTTCTTCCCTAATAGAAGAATAACTTCATATTCCTTTTCAAACCCACATGGTTGTCGAAAGCAAAGAGACAATGTAGTGGAGATGCATGGGTGCTGCAAATTCCCACAAAGAGAGCCAGGGGGTCAGAGGACTGACAGGTGCCAGAGGCTGGAGGTACTGGAATGAACTGGAGGTCTGAAGTTGACTTTGTAGTTGGGGTGACAGATAGGAGGACTCTCAAATTCAAATAAGACAAAAGGGTAGAGTATGGAGTCAGGGCTTGTGTGATCACAAGTGAGGAGGCAGGGAGCCTCGCTGATGTCCAATGGCAGCACGTGGCTAGTGCAGGGAAGGTGAGGTTGTAGGTTTGGAGAAGGAAGGGAGCATGCTCCAATGTGCCTGCTGTAATGTGTGCTGGCACATGGTAGATGTGATTAATCTCATTTGACAGATGATGAAATGTGGGCTCAGAAATGAACCCACCTGAGGCCACACAGCTAGCTAGTGGACCAAGACTATTTCCTCTCCTGCAGGCCACTTCCTCCCCCATGTGCACTGTTGGGAGGCATATGGATATTAACCAAGGGGGCCCAAGAGGACACTTGTACATGTCAATTTCTTCTCACCTTCAACCAAGCACTCTTGATACATTATAAATGGACACGAGAGAGCCAAGAAGATGGCTCAGCAAATAAGACAGCTTTCTGTGCAAGCCAAGGACATGAGTTCAAATTCTCACGCGTAACCCCAGCACTGTGAGGGGGTGGAGACAGGAGGATCACTGGGGCTTTTGGCTGCCCCTATAGTCAGTCTTAGGCTCAATAGGAGACCCTGTCTCAAGAGAATAGGGACACTCAGTGTTCTCTGAGCTCTGCACACAATGTGTGTGCATGTACACACGGGACCGCAATGCACACATGGGACCACACACGCACACACACCACCACCACCATCCTGGATCAGGGAGATAGGGCTGAGAGAAATGGACAAGAAGAGTGTCTTGGGGAGGTAATTAGGCTTGCCCAGCACCCATGCGCCCTGGGTTTGACCCCCAGCACTGCCTAAAGCCAGACAAAACAGAACATGTTTGTAATTGGGAGGCAGAGGCAGGAGGATGGGAAATTCAAGGTCATCCTCAGCCACATAGTTTCAGACTAGCCTAGACTACATGAGATCCTAGAGAGAGAGAGAGAGAGAGAGAGAGAGAGAGAGAGGGAGGGAGGGAGGGAGGGAGGGAGGGAGGGAGGGAGGGACAGAGAGGGACAGGGAGAGGGAGGGAGGGTCATAAGGGCAACACAAAGGGGAGCTCATTGGAGAAAAGTGAGAGAATTAGTTAGCTAAGAAAAATGTGAGCAGATAACTGTGGGGTGGGAAATATGACTTCTGGCTTCCGGAGAAGGGCAATCTCTGGATGGAAATGCTCACAAGGCCCCAGGTTTGCATTGCTTGCCCAATAGCTGTGTGACCTTGGGCAGATTACCTTCCCTCTCTCAGGGAAGTTTGAGCCCTAGTTTCTTGGCAATGAAAACGGGAGATAATGATGATATTGGCCTTGAAAGATGATTCCTGAGGCTTGGTGAACTTGCATGAAAAGGTCTCATATCCACCCCAAGATGGAGGTTTGCTTGGAAAACTTCTACCTAAGTCCTTGTCCCGCTCCATCCTGCTCACTGCAGAGAGGTAGGCTGCACCACCTTGCTCATTCCTCTCTGCATCATTTGCATAGTCATTTGCATCAATCTGCATGCATTATGAATCATTCTGAACTCTTTCACATGTTTAAATTTAGCCAAATTATTATATTTCTGAAGTTGTTTGTTTCTGACTTCCCCTCCCCCCACTAGGCCTGCCTTCATATTTAACCTGCTCTTCCAGCAATCCAAACTCCACCAGCTCCCTCCAGATCTCAGCTCAGTTCTTGGCAATAAGGGGCTGGCAAGAGCTCTGAGCTCTGAGCCACACACTGGCTCTAGCCCTGGAAGTTCTGGCTGTGTCACCTGAGTGAACCCAGCTAACTTATAGGAGCCTCACCTCCCACTACTGAGGGGGAAAGTGAAGGCAAGGACCCCTGCCTCATTGATGGGGGAGAAATAGTGGGTATAAAAAATGCTATGAATTAAGGCAAAGACAAGGCCAGGACTCCAAAGTCAACAGCAGAGCTTGACCACCAGGTGTCACTGACTCTAACCCCTGATGGTGGCCTCAGCCTCACATTTCCACCTTGGGTTAGGAACTCAGTGTTTGTTGTTGAGGTCTTAGGAGGGTGTAGTCTATCCCTTCCTCCTCCCCCTGAAGCCTGAAACCTCAGAGCTTAACTTTCTTAATACTGTAAGTCTGGTCTTGCCTCAGAGTGACATGTGACACAGTGAGAAAAACCAGGGCTCTCCTTTGCACAAACCTTGAACCCAATCTCAGCGTTGCCCTTCAGGGCAGGGAGCACCTAGACAGTACATTTCCTTCTTCGAGGTGCTGATCTGCACTGGATGACCCAAAGTCACTGCCTCCTTCAAGTTCATGGTCTTGCTTTTGGCATTCTTGTCCTGGCTTTATCTGTCTTACTCAATAGCTGTGTGATCTTGGGTCCCTTGGTAATATAAAAGGGAGATGATAATAATACTGGCCTTGACAGATGATGGTGAGAATTAAATGAGATACCTGACTGTTAGAGCTGTCAATGAGTGGCATGTGTAGAGGCTGTTAGAGCATGCCCCTGCCAGTCTGTGCTCTTCTTAGGGGTGGCCTCTGGGAGGCAGAAGGGAATGAACAAATGGTAATGGGGCACTAGGTAGATCAGGGCATAGCTGGAGGTCCTGGGTCCAGTCCTGCTCAGTTTCACCTGGGACCCTCTTCTGTATTGAGCTGATAAAGCACACATTGGTTCTGTGCTGCTGTAGCCTGGACTCTGAATCATACTGTGCCAAACCAGAATAATCACACAGCCCCAGCCTCTGACATGCTCTCCCCAAACCCGGTAAACAATTTACTTTTGATGGTTGACAAATGATGAGAAATTAATATACCTGCCACTCAAGTGGGGAAAATGACTCACGGTGGTTCCAATTTACTGGAAATTGCAAGCTAGTACTCTGAACAGTTGATGCTGTAATTTCTTTGTTTTTCCTCATCTAAATCTGTGTCCCCTGGTCAGATGGGATGTTTACTGGATTTGTGTTTTTTATTATTGACTGTGAGCTATTGTTACCTGGTGTAATTGAGTTGTGAATCTTTTTTAAATAAAGAATTAGTAGAAGATCAAAGTGGCTGCCTGCTGGATTCTGAACCGACAGCACAGCTGGGTCTCAGCACATTGTCAGTGGTGGAGCCTACCTAGGAGGGGTGCTGGAGAAGAGATGGTGAGGGACTCCCCTCCCCAGAGGAACACACAAGCATCTCACTCCTCACCCATACCCTCTCCAGATGTGCAGCAGACCCACACTCCATTCTACAGCATCTCACTCCTCACCCATACCCTCTCCAGATGTGCAGCAGACCCATATCCCATTCTGGGCTCTACTAGCTTGGGGTGGGACCTTAGATGAGTCCGTTTCCCATTGGCTCCCTCCCCTATGAAATGGGGATGGTCAGATCCAGCCCATACAGCCTACAAAATTACTGGGAGAACATATGAAGGCATGGCCAGCAGGGATTTTCTAATGTTATGTTCATGGGTGCACCCTAGGGGTGGTGTTGAAGCAGCCAATTGCACCTTGGAGTGTGGACACCTTGGTGGAGTTCTGTCCATTTCTTCCTTTAACACCTGGCCTGCACAACTCTATTCATGGACAAAATGGCTGTCTCTAAAATCCTTTGTGTTGCAGATGGACTTGTCCTTTGAGAGGGGGAAGACAATTTTCAAGGTCATATTGGCTGGTGGGTGGTGGAAGTTGCACCCAAATTCCATTCTTCTTGCAGCTCATTGATCTTCGCCTAATCCCCCACCTCCGACTTTCCCTGCTCTGCTGATGACTATCTGCACAATTACTCTGGCAATTCATCATGCCTGTGACATCTCTCCTACTGTTGTCTAGAACTTGATTGGCATCATAGACCATTATTGAATTCCTGCCCTGAGATGCTTTTCCCAGAGATTGTGAGGCTCTGGAGTTTCGGTCTTCACTACGAGTCCTGAAATACATACTCACTGCTGGGTACATAGTAGGTGCCTCATAGCTCATTATTGGGCACACAGATCAGTGTCTGACACACAGTGAGGGCTTTACAGTTCAGTGCTGGGCTCACAGTATGGCCCCAATAGGTTAGTGCTGGTTACACAGGAGTGGTCCCACAGCTCATTGAGGCCCTCAGAAGGGTCTCCTGGCTGGCTGTGACTTGAGTGAATCGTGCTATCCAGCTGTGCACACTGGTTCCTGGAGACATGTGAGGAAATGAGTGCCATTGATGGGGACCACCAGAAATAGCTGTGGCCAGGTCAGCCTGCTCCACCTGAGATCTGGGGTCTCCTGTGCAAAAGGGAGGGAACTGCTGTCGGGAGCCGTGGTTGATTTGTGCGCCATCTTTGAGTATATGAGGGTGTTGAGGGTGGGGAAGGATGCAGAGCCCCTAGGGAGGGAGGGAAATGGAAAAAGGAGGTAGGTGTAGGGGGAGGGGCTGAGCCGGGAGTCAGAGAATGGGCTAAGCTATGCCTGGCTTCTGTTGACTGCTGACTCAGTGCGCTTGATGGTTACCCTCTCCCCATCTGGCTTCATTGTTCACACTACTCATACCCTTCCCCCCTCTCACACATTCTCACCACCCCCACCCCACCCCACCCCACCCCGGGTTTCAGAACTGTGCTCTGTCTCCATTTATGATTAGGCTAAGGCTCGTGTCCTCTGGCTAGCATGATTCTCTTGTGCGGACCCCACCCCCCTAGTGGCCTTCCACTTTCAGTTGCTACAGCCCCCACTGGGGACACTTCAGAAGGCATTGTTGCACAATGAGGTCCACAAAGCTCTGTGTAAGCAGAGCCTTCCCAGTTCCCCAGTTGCCTCTTCCCAGCTTCCTTTCTTTCCCTCTTGTAGCCCAGGATAAAATTCAATTTAGAGCCAGGAAAAGCCAGGTGTGCTAGTGGAAGTCTGTGATTCCAGCTTCTTGGGAAGCTCAGACTGAAGAGGTTGGCAAATTCAAGACTAGCCTGGGAAACTGAGTGAACTCTGGTTCAAAATAAGAAGTAAAAATTCAGTTTGTTTACTATGCACAAGACTCTAGGTTAAATCTCAGGTATAAAACAGAGCAGGACAAAACAAAGGAGAGTTGAGAGGAGGTCCTTCCAATTGCACACGTCCCCAGGAATGAAGGCTTCACCTTGGCACACAGCCATGGCCAGCGTCAGCCCCCTTTTCCAAACCCCTGACCAGTGGGGCCACCATTGCACCAGGCCTCAAGTAGCAGCCAGACAGTACTAAGTGGGCACCACACTCCAGGGGAGATGGATTTTGCAAGACAAAGGATTCTCCCTTTGTCTTTCCAGCCCAAGACTCCTGGAATACCCGGTGTTTTCTTCTCAGAGGAATTGTACTAATTAAATAATAATTATTCAGGAGAAAAAGTCTACCAGAAGAGGGCAGGAAGTTCCCTATGTGGAGCACTGGCATATATGAGAGGTGTGTGTGTGTGTGTGTGTGTGTGTGTGTGTGTGTGTGTGTGTGTGTGTCTACCACTGGGCCTTCGACAGGGATGTAGAGAGTTTAAAGGACCTTCCCATCTCTCCCCTCCTCTCCCCTTCTCTTTCCTTTTCTCCCCTATCACCCTCTTCCTTCCTTTCCTTCCTGTCTTTTCATCTTAGGTTAGGGATGGACCCCAGGGCCTCACAGATGCTAGGCACTTTGATATAACATAAAAAGCAAACAAACCACTAACTATCTCTTTAGTTTACAAAGTTAATATAACCATTATAGCCATTGCCATCAACGTCCTGAGTATCATCTGGGATCAAGAATGAGATGAGTGGCTGGGATACGCATTAGAGCAGAGCTCTAGTGTCCAATAGCAACAAAGACAAAAACTCAGCTTCCCTTTTTGTTTTGTTTTGATTTCCCATTTTAATATGGCCAGATTAAAACCCTCTATTAACTTCACCACTTCAAAGTGTATTGCATATGTGTTCAGGAAGGCAATGGGCAGACAAGGCTGTGGCTAGGGGACCCTCTCCCATGTAACCAGCTGTCCGATCTGGGCAGCTGTTTCATCAACACAGTGGCTAAGACTGTGTGCTTCCTGCGGATCAGAGCCTCACTAGAATTGGATAGGTTGTGATTAATAATAAATGGGCAGATGCATTTATTATTATTTAATAAGTGTAGTTGGACTGGCTAGCCAGGTCTTCTAAATCTTAGGGCAGGTCTGAAGAAATCAGAACAAAATCCTCAGATAGAAAAGTGAGACCCATTTAGTCTCAGAAATTCTGCCATCAGCTACTTCTGTTTCTCCAGCTGATTTCTCTATCCAAAGGCCAGTAAACTCCTAACACACACACACACACACACACACACACACACACACACACACACACACACACACAGTGTGCACGCATGCACACATGCACCGAGATGGGCACCTGCAGGTATCAGCAAGTCTAATCTCAGGTGTCGAGGAAATGGAACATGGGGAAAGAGATTCTGTAACCTCTGCATATTTGGAAGTGGGTGTGACTCAATGTCTTGGGGGAAGTGAAGCCTAAAGGACAAGGCATGTGCTGAAGGTGACCTTTGTGGGCCACAAGCGATCCTCAGTGTGGCTTTGGACTTGCTCTGGGCTGGGAACACCTCTGATTCTATTTTTTCCCTGTGAAAATTCCTGATAATTACCACAGCAGTGTCATTCGCCTCACTGCTCAAGGCACGAGATACACCTGGTAGGCCCTCAGCTGTCTCTGCCCCCTTCTCCCTGTTGTGCATGGAGGTTCTTTTGGGAGGTCTAGTTGGCTGGTGTGGCATGGGAGGATGGCTGGAATCTTTAGGACATTTATGGGTGGCGGGCAGGGATGGAACTTTCTCATATCCTTGCCTAGGACTTTCTCTGGATGGGGCTACCATAAAACACACTAAGGGAAAATCGGGCAACTTGAGTTGTGTGTGTGTGTGTGTGTGTGTGTGTGTGCGCGCGTGTGTGTGTGCACACGCGCGCGTGCTCTGAGAGCCACAGGGAACATCTACATCAGCACTGCATACTGGTGATGATCTTCTTAGCATAGCTGGGCAGTGCTGGGTGGAAGGGCTGGGTTGTTTCTGGACTGTGACAGTTGGGGGCAGGGGACTCATCTGAGCCTTTTTTCTTGTTTCTAAAATGAGGCCTCCCTCCAGCAACTAACCTTGCCTCCATCATAGAGTCCTCCCGAGGACACATAGTCAAATCTCAGACCAGGGTTTGGTGTACCTCAGTGTTCCTCACAGGATGTATCAGCTCACCTGGGAACTTTCTGGAATTCACACTTCAGCACCGGAGTTAGCCTATAGAGGTGGACCCTTGAAACCTGGCTATTAACCAGCCCTGCTATTTCACCATTACCTTTGCTTGGTACCATAGACTCAAGGTGGCATAGTGGAATTGGTCTATTCTTGCCTGGTCTGGTGGAAAATTGTGTGCCTGGGATGGGCTCAAGACAAACTTTGAGAGTGGCTTGCTTCCCAGGAAAGGAAAAGAACATTAGCTTTTAGGCTGGGAAGATGGCTCAATCCAGTCCAGACACTGGTTTGGATTCCCATTACCCACACGAAAGACCAGGCATTCATGTAACCCTGGCACAGTGAGAGTGGGAACAGGCAAACCCCTGGAGCACTAGAATTATAGGAGGAAACCCCAAACTCACTAGTCAGCTAGCCAGCCTAGCCATTCAGTGAGCATGAGGCTCTGTGAGAAACCCTGTCTCAAAAATAAAACAGAGAGCATTCTCAGGACCAGCAAGGTACCAGCAAACTTCAGACTCACATGAACATGTAATACTCCTCTCCCACACAAATGTGCTACACAAGCCGATCAGACTGGATACTTCTATCAAGAGCTTCCTATGCCCACCTTAATTATAATTAATAATAATTCTGAAGCTAGCTCATATGTTTATCTTCTCCACTAATGGCCTGAGTTTTTTGAAGGCAAAAGACATCTTTGTTGCTGCAGTCCACCCTCAGTCACTATATCCCATTAATGGCCAGCGTCTGTGGCTCTTGGCATGCTTGGGTACCCAGGAACCCCTCCCCCAGGTAAGACTTGAGTCTTTTTCAAGGGAGCTGGGCCATCACTATACATACCTGTAGGTGTCAGTAGCTGGCACTTTCCAAATCTGGACTCCCCTCAACGGCCCTTCGCTCCCCACCACCACGCTCAAGTTGGAGTTCTGGTAGGCATTGTTGCACTGGGCTTGTGTGGGGCCGTGGGGTCCACTGGCCCCACAGGTGGTGAACAGCCAGTGAACTGTGACACAAAAGGAGAGACAGCCAGTTACTTCCTGGACCTCCCTCTTCTCAGACCTCCTTGGGCTGTCTACAAGGTGTCTGCTCCATGACTTGAGGCATAAATTCAGAGAAGACACCAAGGTTGTGGGGAGAAAATACTATCAGCCATTCAAACTGGAGAGTTATGATCGGAGGCTTCCTGGGCCATGTGCTGGCTGGGGAAGAGATGGAAACAGAAAGACTTGCAGGACAGCAAGTGGGGTCCATAGGAAGATACTTTTAACACCATAGCACCGTTCTCTTACTGAGAGGGAGTGACATCCTCGTTCAGGATCAACAGGCACAGGCCATGGCTGAGTGTTCTCATGTCTCACTGTGTACAGCATGGTGAGGAGCAAGCCCCAGATACTTACTCCCCACTGTGGTCTGTCCTTGTCCTCCTCGTGTAGCTTTCTAGGGACATCACAGGAACACAACTGAAACCCTACCTGCCACCTCATATTCTCCTACTATCACATTTCCTTTCAAATTGGAGATCTGTCAGATCTCTTGGCCTCAACTCTAACACCTTTTACAGCTTGTAAAAGCTTTAAGAACTGTATTCTTGATAAATAAGCTTCTACTTAAAAATAAATCTCATTTTCAGATGGCCTAAATTATTCCTCCTTTTAAAGAGAGATTGAGTCCAATTCTGTGCACAGAAAATGATGGAAAATTAATTTGAGTGTATGTATCACCATCACTAAAACATTCAAAAGGAAATTTCTTGAAGGCTTTGAACTAATTTGATGATGAAAATGTAAGAGGCCAATTTGACAGTCAGACAGAGGTCACCTTGGCAGAGCTGAAGCCTCAGCCAGCCTTGATTTACTTTTGTGATAGGACCCTGGCCTAGAGGTCGGACATCCCAGTGGGAGTCTGATGCATACATCTCAATGGAAAGGCCACATGGTTTCTGAAGGTCACTTCAAGGTTTAGGAAGTAAAGAACCTATTGGCTGATAGAGAGCTGTCTGATCAAATCTATTAACTCATAGGGCTAATTCTTTATGGAAGGTTCTGGGTTTTTGTTTGTTTTCTTGTCTGTTTGAGGCAGGGTCTCATTGAAGAACTCAGGCTGGCTCAAATTCGGGCAATAGTCTACCCCAGGGCTAAGAGAATGAACTTGCTTCACCATGTCCTGCTTACAAAAGGTATTTTGGCAGAATTTGTTTGTCTCTTTGGTTTGTTCCAAAGCCAAAATGACACATGTAGAGGAGTGAGGTGGAAAGACCATGGGCTTTGACATCTTCAAGAACAACTGGTTTGAGGGAAATGATCCTTCATCAATGATGGATCATTAAACCTTGATCTAATTCTGTCATCTGTGAAAGGGGCTGGTTGGCATGCTAAAAGTAGCAGGGAGTAGGAAAGGTTATGGTAGAGTTCTAAACTCCACAAATATGAGCTGGTTGTGCCTGTGTCTAAGGCCCAATCTTGCCACTGACAATGGGGAATATATCCAGGGGAGTCTCTATGACTATAAATTCCATGCCCACAGCATCCAGGAACTTGAACTCAGTGAGCCGAGCATGAAGCTGGGGCATAGACCAAAACACAAAATGAAGAACTGCAGTTGACACCCCCACCTTTCTGTATGGCTAGCTAGAAGCCCATTCTGCAGACAGCCCATATCTACGGCAAACAGCTTGGATGTGGAGAAGCTTTCCCAACCTGGCCACAGATGAGTGGTGCTTTCTTTAGTAAATTCTGTTCGGGACATAACATTTGCACCTTGCTTGAGCACCTAACCTTGAGCAGGACCCTCTTTAACTTCAGCCTGTGTAACTACAGTGCTCAGAGGTTCTAAGACATTCCAAGGAAAGATGGTCACCTGCTTTTTGGCTACAATGTCTGATGAGGGAGGGAGAGGATTATGGGATTACATGGGCCAAAGTTTCTCATTCTGAACTTTGTCCCTGGATAGCTTCAAGACCCAGATTAGATTAAAGCATCTTAGTTGGGGATAGTGACCATGACCATATGAGGTCATGTAACAGAACATGTGGGTTGTGAAAAATTTGGCAACAGTAGAAGGCTTATGAAGGTACAATGACCAAAAATTCATTCAAAGTAAAACACAAGATGAATCTGAAATGTTTCTGGGAGTACTCGATTTGTGTCCTGTGACTTTACACACACACACACACACACACACACACACACACACACACACACACACACACACTTGCTTGTGTGCCATCACATCACACAATGCCAAAAAATGATGCCTTGAAATATCAAAGCTCATACTTGAGACTATTGTATGTTGTGAGTTGCAGCATCTTCACTACACATACAAAATTTCCTCCTATAAAAAAGAATAGTTAAGTCATCATAAACAGACCTTTAGTAGTTTTCATGCCAAAATTCTTCAGCATGTGGGTTTCAAACTGATACATCTCAGGATTGTATTGTATTAGACAAACAAGCATATTTATCATTAGCATGCAAATTTGCTCCCCTCTTTTATAATTGGTAAGATTATACATACATCAAAGACTTGTTTCAAAATAAATTCCTTTGTGACTTATTATTAATAAATGCTTGATACTTTGTACCCATTTGATATCTATGTTACCAAGGTCATGTCACAACTTCTCAGGCTAATGAGAGTTGCAAATAGACAAGGTTTAAGAAGACCTGGGTTAGATCACTTGACCTGTCTGAGCCTTGCCTTTGCTAATCTGAACAAATGGAGATTATACTACTTACTGCTTAGACTTTCGATGAAAATTAAAAGATGAACCTAAGCCAAGTGCTTATCATATCATGTAACAGTAGAGAGATGCAGTGAAGGTAGCTGCAAACCATGTGATACTTCCATGTTCAGTTCCTCACTGCAGGATCAGACACCCATCCTCAAGATTTATGCCCCCATTCCATGAAGAAGCGACTCTAGGGCCATTTCTTAACAGAGGCACCCATATTTCCCCAAACTCAGTGGACATATATTAGTCTCAGGTGGTTTCCATACACAAAATTTTGTTTTTACTTTCAGCAGTTTCTGATGGAAAGGTCCAGAGAGGAAACTTTTTTTCTAAAGTGGATTCCAAGGGAATAGAGGATTTGCCCTCCAGGTCAAACTCATGATTCATCTAGCCAGACTTTTGCTGCTCCCAGCAGCCTTTGAAGCAAGATGGTGGTCTCTGTTCTTGTAGATAGTTCCGACCCCTGTAAATCAGCCTAACTTTGCTTGGAATCAATTTATGTTTCCTACCATCATCACCCCTTGGGGACAGAGACTTTCTGCATTTATTTCCTCTTGTGCAAGGCCTTTCTTGCTTCTCTGCTGGTTTGTCTTGTCCAAGATTCATGCCATTGATTCTCTTTATTCTTTCTGACCCACTTATAGATGTACCCAGATGTTTCATTAAGATGGGACATTCAGTCATTCCCAAAAACACCTGACGACCAAGGCTTTGGGGATTTAGATTCAGTAGAGCTTATTTGGAGTTGGGAGGGGTCCTTTAATAAAAACTTTTCTAATGAACTCTGATACCCAATTAGATTTGCACATTAGTCCCATCTATTTCACCATCCTGATGAAGAAAGAACATTAGTGACCCTTGTGAGCTTGTGAGCAGTGGAGATGGATTCAAAGTTGAGCATTACTTCTTCTCTGTCTAGGGCCCCTTGGGGGTGATCAACTCTCTGCCTTGGAGACTTGCAACCTTTTAAGATTGTTCACACATGAGTCTCTGCCACACTGTGTCTTTCTAAAGAGAATAATTTGCTTGTTGAGGTGCGTCTCCTAGAATGGAACTGTGAGTACTTGTGACTCTGTGTAAGGGAGACTTGATATTCTTTATTTTAAATGCCCCTCAGAAAGTGCTTGCTTGGGTCAGGCTCTATTTCCAAATCATTGCCTAAGGTATATACTATTGCTTTAACTCTGGTGATGCTGATTGCTGTGAGCCTAGGTAGGTCCCTGAGGAATCTTCTGGAACAAGGGATGGTAGAAGCAGGGTAGGTATGATTTCCAGGCAAAGACAGGTCAGAGACACAAAAGGGCCAAGATGAGGGTCTAGTCCCAGGGGTGTTCCAGGAAATCCAGTCACTGGGCTGTAAGTTCCAGGAAATCCAGTCATTGGCTGTAAGTTCCAGGAAATCCAGTCACTGGGCTGTAAAGTTATAGATCAGCAGTGCCAAGGAGAAGGTCAGCACCTCATGCCACCAGTCACAACTTCAGTGTCAGGAGAGAGGATTAAGGTCACAGGGAGATCATGAGGGAGGCAGGCTAGAGCTGAGATGCCAATCTGAAGTCCCCATAGTTCCTCAGCTGAGATTCTATATTGGTTCCCAAAGCTCTGTGAAGCCATAAGAGCATGAAATGGCCCCCAGGGAAGAGATATGATGAGGTCAAGGGAGGTAGGAAGCTTACCTCTTCCTTCTCTTAAAAAATAATATAACCCCCCCTATTTTATTAAAAGTCTTTTATGGGAGAAAAGAGCCCATGTTTATCTTGTTGTTATACACACCACACACTAGAAACATAGTTGAAGACTCATTCACATTTAAATTGTACAAAGAACCCACAAACATGAAGATACTGATTGGTTATAGACAGCTGAGTAAAGAAAAATCCATTAAGCACTGGGTTTCATTTTAAGTATATTGCAGAGTCCTTCAGGAAGAAACAAATCAATTAGTAATATGCAGCACAATGTTTAAAAAATAGGCCAGACAGTGATTGCACTGGTTTTATTGCTGTTGCTAAGGCATCTCATCTGCTCAATTCAGTGCAAAGAAATAAAGTGTGATACAAAGGAAAATAAGTTCTCAGCTATCTCTATTAATCACAGCAATGGGGGTCTGCCTCAGGTTCAAGCCCTGTGTTTGTCGTACCAAAGAATAGCACTCAGCATCTCATGTGGAGCATTTGATCGGGCTCCATTGGAATTGAATTTTAGCCATAACCATTGATGGAACTCAACTTCACCGAAGCTGTGCGCTGTGGACTATTTGCATGGCACCCTAC